CCTCAGTCCTGGGTCTCTAGTATTTACAGTAGGCTGCTTGCTTACATTCCTTAACTCACTGAAGGTGCTATGAAAATTGTTTTCTTGAGAGACTCTCAGCCCAGGCTGGCCTCAAACTCACCATGTAGCTGAGGATCTCAGCCTGGTCTTTGTTCCTCTATCTCCCACGTACTGGCATATAGGCATGTGCCACCATGCCCAGCTCTTAAAATTTTTAAGACTCCTGTTTTCTCTCTCTGCCTTCATTGTACCCCAGAATTACTCTCGTCCTTATTTTCCAAAAATCGGTGAGACCCTTGGGTTCAACAAAACAACCAGTTGTAGAATTTGTGCTAATGTGACTTCGGGAGGCTTCCTAACGTGTCATCTCCTTTTTGGTCACACTTTGCCCCTTGAAGTCAAGGTGCACAATGAACCTTACACTAGTCTTACCTGTGAGATAAAAATGTGCCGGGCGGTGGTGGCGCACGCCTTTAATCCCAGCACTCGGGAGGCAGAGGCAGGCGGATCTCTGTGAGTTCGAGGCCAGCCTGGACTACAGAGTGAGTTCCAGGAAAGGCGCAAAACTACACAGAGAAACCCTGTCTCGAAAAACCAAAAAAAAAAAAAAAAAAAAAAAAACCTGTCTTAAAGGACCTCTCAACAGTCTGAGGGTATTTTCTTTGAGGAACAACTGGACAATCCAATCAAACCTCTGGAAAGAGAGAGTATCTCACTAGTTATAACTGGAGTCAAATCCTCTAACTTCATATCTTACACTTGGACCTAGATGCTGAGATTCCAGTTATAGACCTGAGTCCTGGCCCCAGTGAAAATCTCCCAAACCTGAAAACTGGCAGTCTTCACTGGCACCCCAGCTTGTCCAAACCCCACTAATTAGACTTCCCAAATGGGCTCTGTCCTAAAAGCATGCAAAGTGCATGTTCAGTGGGGAACTAGGTTAGGACCCCACTCAACCTCAACTGGGCTTAAACCTTGTATATTCTCCCGATAGCCCCTATGAACAGCCATGTGCTCCCCTTTCCAGACATTACTGGAAGCATTTCTCAATACAGTCTTTACTGTGTAAATCCTGAGGACCCTGTGTGCTTCCTTTGACAAACTTGGCACCTATCTTTACTCCTAACTCAAAGGACACGTGGCCTTCCCAGAATCTGAGTCAGGAAAATGTACCCTTGTTGTGTACCCCTGTCTGAGTAAAAGCTGAACCTATTTTATTGTTGGGCCCTCAACCTTATTAGCATAGGCACAGAAGTGGTCTCCTGAACTCCACTTTTACTACCCCCAAATGTCCCTGGGACTTAGAAATAGTTACTCTAAGAACTTCCAGCAATATAAGCAAAGTCACTTGAAATCAAGTTACATTTCACAACTGCCTGGACCCTATCCTGTTATAGGAAGAATATTGCTCATGTATATATCTTGACAAATACAACAAACTCCAGAACATAAAATGCACTGTTCAGAGAAAATGGACGTGCTCAGGGACAGAGCAAATGGGTTTCAAAGTGTCGGGACATAGCCATCCTAGTTACCTTTCTGTCTAGGACCACTTATGGCTGTTCACGTTTTATATTTGGTCCTTATTTATTTTTATCTTTAATTTAGCATACAAAGTCATAGGTTTCATGTTGATGTTTTCAGGTTCTTATATTTTTAATCTATTTGTCATGTTCATGTCTAGGATTCAGCAATTTTAGGTCCAGGTGATTTTCAATATGGATTCCAGTCAGTACCCTCAAAGGATTAATTACCAGTAGGCCTTTTAGACTAGGCCACCAGGATTTTCTTGACAGCCATTCTTAACTGTCCCTTCATGACTTCTCCCTGTCACCCCTTGACAGATCATCAACAGGAAGTAAGGACAGCATTAAGATTTCATGCAGGGGCTGGAGGCATGGCCCAAGGGTTTAGAGCTAATAATGTTCTTTCAGAGGAACTAAGTTCAGTTCCCAGCAACCACAAGGATGAACTGATACCGCTCATCTCTACAGGTATCCACCCCCATCCCCATATATACATAATTAAAAATAAATCTTTGAAAAGAAAAAATAAGATTTCATGCTGCCCAAAGCTTCAGAAGAGACCTCCTAAACTGCAAACTGGCCTAGAAGAACAGGTGTGTAGGGTGTGTGACAGCAGTGCCACAGAGCCCAGCCTGGTCCAGAGAACATGAACCAGTCTGACTTGCTCTTGTTTACATTACAAGATCCAAAAGGAACTGTGTGCAACAGGCATCTCTGCCACCGCTCCCTGGGTGAGTTTACTACCTGTGACTCCACATACCACATGTATGTAGTTACCTCCTTTTCTGGCTTCAAAGAGTAAATCAAGAGTCTGGAAATGAACTTTCATTTGATCCAGAACAAGGCTTGATTAGAAGTTCACTAAAATGAGCTAAAAGTATACTTTTGTGAATGATACAAGTTTTCCTCTTTAGGTGCAGGCGTCCTTTGTGAGCTCTGATTCTGCATGAGTCACTTCAATACCAGTCCACAGTCCACCTAAGGACATAGGACTGTAATCCCAGCTACTCAGGAACCTAAGACAGGTTATCAAGTTCACGGCCAGCTTGGACAACTCAGTGAAAATCTGTCTCAATAAAAATGAGGGTTGCGGATACATACTTGTGGCAATGCACTGACCTAGTATGTGCTTTGTTTCTCCTTTTTATCCCACATGCCTCATGCTGTGTGAACACCCACAAGTCCCACACAGGGCGTGGGGGTGGCGGGGGAGACCTGCCCCTTTAATGAACCCTGGAAGTCCTTTAGGTTTGTTGTGCTGGGGATCAGTGCCTATCAGCCTCTCACTGTGCTGGAGTTACAGCTGCTGGCTGCTGCCCTAAGCTGTTACAGGGGTCCTATCTTTATGCTGGGGTTGGGGGGTGGGGGTGGGCTACCATTTTCAGCTCGGTAAGCTTGCTTTTTTAAAGTGAAATCCATATGCAGGAGACTGAAAGGGTGAATTAAAAACATTTCCACTTTCCAGTACGTAGGACTACTGGCTTGTGGCTAAGGATTGAAAAGAACCTTGTGGATGCTATGCAAAAATCTTACTATAAGTATATCCTCATTCTGTAGAGACAAGATCTCACCATATAGTTCAGGCTGGCCTCACACAATCTTCCTGCTTCTGCCTCAAAGTCCAGCTTGCTTATAGTTTGTGTTCAATAAAGAAGCATCACTTTGCTAGGCAGTAGTGGCGCTCATCTTTAATCCCAGCACTTGGGAGGCAGCGGCAGGCAGGTCTCTGTGAGTTCGAGGACAGCCTGGTCTAGAGAGAGTTTCAGGATGGCCAAAGGTACACAGAGAAACCCTGTCTTGAAAAACCAAAAAAAAAAAGAAAAGAAAAGGAAAAAAAAGCATTACTTTAAGGAGGCTAAGAAAAGTGTTACAGAAGAGTTGATGTGGTCAATAGGTGTAATAATAAAGTTAGGGGACCTCAGTCCATTCCAGGTGCTAATACTTTATAGCAAGTGATTCTCCTGTGGCTGGGTTTCACTGATAAAATAATTCCTAAGTAAAAAGTACAAGGCAACACATCTATTAAGATTGGAAGCTCTAAGGAAGATAGAGTGTTTGGGACTCTGTGAACCCAACTTCGTTTGGTTAAAAATTTCAGAATATACTAGAGCTCGCTTAAGTTGGGAGATAGGGTTCATTAATTATTATAGTTATTATACTCATAATAGGGAATTCCAGCGCCCACTTTCTGTTTATGTTTTACATGTCGTGTTCCTGTATGTATGTATGTGCCCCACGTGCACGCAGATATTGCGGGAGGTCAGAAGAGGGTGTGGGATCCTCTGGAACTGGAGTTACAAATGGTTGTGCATTGCCGTGTGGGTGCTGGGAAATAAACCCACGTCCTCTGCAAAAGCAGCAAGTGCTCTTAACTGCTAAGCCATCTCTCCAGCCTTTGCTATCATTATTATATTTTGCTTTGCTTTTTGAGACAGGCTCTCTTGCAGCGCAGGGTGACCTGCCTGACCTTACTATGTCGCTTAGACTAGCCTTGAATTCCTCCTTTACCTCCTGAGTGTGGCATTACATGCATGGCTATGATGCCCACCCAGCTCGGCCCCCATTTCATTCTTCTCTTTTGCTCTACAGACCGGCTTCTTCTACACTTTTCAGTTACTAGTTTATATCCCTAATCGAAGATCCCAAATGCTTCACACACATACGGAGTGCAGCTTCCGATTTTCAAATTAGGATGCTCACTTTGTTCCAGTGGCCGGGCGAGTGCTAAATAATAGGTCAGAATGCCATCGATAGATATTGAAATATCAAGGATACCAACTGCATTCGATATAACTCACTTACAGGATCTAAGACTCTGAAGTACAAATAACAGCCTTTGGGTGTGTGCGACAAATTCACGTAAATTCTCAAAAGGCAAACGCAGGCTGCAAGCCTTTCATCCCAGCACTGGGGAGGCAGAGGCAGGAGGACCTGTGAGTTCGAGGCCACCTTGGTCTACAGACCGAGTCCCTGGACAGCCAGGCTACACAGAGAAACCCTGTCTCGAAAAACAAAACATAACGAAAACCACAACAACAAAAAGGCAAACGCAGTACCAATAAATGAGCCGAGAGACAAACTGCTCCGGCCCTTGCCCAGCTTTCGCGCTGTTCGTCCGTCCGGTGTGGGGAGTGTCGCCAGCTGCTGCTGACGCCTCACGGGAGAGCTACGTGGCGTCCTCGGGGTCACCGCGGCTCTTCGCTGACGGAAACGCCCAGCAGGACTTCCCCTCGATCCACCGCCAAGCGGCCGCTTCCCTGCATTGCGCGCCTCCTCCAAAAACACCGCTGAAGCCGGGCGGTGGTGGCGCACGCCTTTAATCCCAGCACTCGGGAGGCAGAGCCAGGCGGATCTCTGTGAGTTCGAGGCCAGCCTGGGCTACCAAGTGAGTCCCAGGAAAGGCGCAAAGCTACACAGAGAAACCCTGTCTCGAAAAACCAAAAAAAAAAAAAAACACCGCTGAATAATCCCTACCTCCAGCTCCACTAGCCTTCTGGGGCCACGGCTCCCGGAAGTGCCGTCCCGCCGGCTGGGAGGGGCGAACCGTTGCTCCCGGAAGTGCCGGCCGGTAGGGTGGGCGTGGTGAGTCTCCGCACCCGGAAGTGCCGGCCCGCAGGCGGGGCTGCGGCTGCCACGTTGGAGCGGAGCGTGGAGGTGGCCCTGGGCCGCGGAGGAGGGGCGGCGGCGGCGGCGGATCCTGGGAGAGTCCGACGTTCGCCGGCTAACGCAGGACAGACAGGTCGCCGAGGTCCGCCAGGTGTGTCTGCCGTTTGTTTCCTGCCCCTCGCCAGGTTCGGTGTCCGCTGCCGAGGCCCGAGGCCCGCTCTCCGCTGACGCCGCGCCCCTGTCTCGTTTCGGCCCCGCCGGGACAACGCCTGGAGTCGCAGCAGCCGGGTGATCGCGCCCGTCATCCTCCGCCAAGGTTTCCAGGCTGCCCTGCTCCGGAGTGAGCTTGAGGTTAGGACCCTTCGGACCCTGTGCACAAAGAGGTGCGATCCCCAAGGGCGTGCAAGGGAAACAGACCTCAAGATTATTTCTTTGACTTCAGTTAGGTAGAGATTTTTTTTTTTTTTTTAAATGGTGTTTGAACTGTTGCCAAATTTGAGGGTTTAACGATTGGAAACTGAGACTACTATCTTTTTACTATGATTGTATTATTTAGGGTCAACAGTCTCCAGTCACAGGCTTCAGAAGTGTATGATTTTGCTGCTGTTGTTATACTAAATTAAATCGTGAGGCAGTTGTAAAATAATTGCCTGGACTTGTGGGCGTATAAACTTTTTCCGTGAGCTTGTAGAACTAATTCTGCAGTTTTTTTTTTTTTTTTTTCTAGTTTCTCCAAATCGTTAAACTATAGAAAGCTGGTACTTGGTTCTTTTGTGTACAACTGTAACTGTTAAGTAGATAATTAGACGCTTGCTCTTTCCCCTTAAATCCTGATTATTCAGGAGTTGGCTAAAATTTACTGCCCTTTTGAGTAGTTCTGTCCTTGTTTCTCTAACTCGTAATTATAGCTCCAAGAAAGGTTTGCAGGAATGAGAACTTTTGGATAATTGCTGTCTAATTGTGAATATGTTACACATATATAGAGTTTGGAAATGTGAGGTTTGAGATGAGTTTTGGATTTTACTGGTTAATTTTATGTAAACAGGTTTTTTCCTGAAACATGTAAGAGTAGGAAGACATATGTAAACTGTGAAAAGCAGTGACTGTCAATCTTTTAGCATTTTTATCCCCCTTTGAAAGCACTGGGCTATCTTCCTAGAAAAACATGTTTACACTGTATGCTCATGCCTGGGTAGAATTTTTATGTAATTTCATGGGGATTGAAAGCCCCACATTAAAAGCTTGTAAAGTGATACTGCTAAATTAATTTCTCTTTGTTTCTTCTCTTCTTCCCTCCTTCCTTCATTCTTTGAGATAGGGTCTCATGTGGCCCAGAATGGCCTCAAACTCACCAAATAGCCAAGTATGGCTTTGAATTCTGACCCTCCTAACTCTTACCTCCCAAGTTCTGGGATTTCAGGGATGTACCACCACACCCGAGGCGTTTCTTTTTTTGTAGGTTAATTTCATCTCCTAAAGTTTAATATTGCAGATTAGTATGATATCATTTAGTTCAGCAAGGTATGGTTGATTTTTGAGTTTGGTTGAATGAGGCGAGCCTGGAACAGTCAGTCGATGACACTAAATAACATTTGGAGAACAAATATTCCTATCCTTCGTGAGACATTTTGCCCACATGCACTTTTACTAAAAATAGTGCCAGTAAGGGATTTGTACTCCTCGTTAAGCGACAAAGGTGCTGGGACTGCTACCTCTGACTTGGCGCTTTCCGAGGTGCAGGGTGGCTCTGCAGTGTTGCAAGGTTGCTACTTTTGACAGAATAGTAGTGTCCGACTTTCATATTGCTTCATAAAACTTGCAATTTGAAAATCAGTTTACCTGCAGTGATGGCTCATCAGTTAAGAGCACATGTTGCCCTTCCTGATACCCACATCTGGTGGCTCACAGTCACCCATAATATCAGCTCCATTTCATCTGACTCCTCTGGCTTCTGCAAGTATCTGTCTGTACTCATGTACCTATACCCACACAGACACAAACACACAGCATATAATTTAAAAAATAGTAAAGAACATCAATAGAAAGAAGAAAATTTTCACTTAAAAATAAGTTCTTGTCTAGAACATAATGTTCCTCAGATGTTAGGTTTTGATCTCTGTTTTTTATTGAGGGAGTAATGACACTAGAGTTGAAACACAGGGCCTTGGATATTCTAGGTAAGCATTGTGAGCTGCACCCCCAACTCATGGTTTTTTTGAAACAGGATCTTATCCTTGTAGCCCAGGCTGGCCTGAAACTGCTGACCTCCTGCTTCTTAGTCTCCATAGATTGCATACCTCTGTGTGCCACTTTTCCTAGCACTTAGATGTATTCTTGAAGACTTGTTGGGATAGACCTTTTAAACTGTGAACTGAGAGCTAGAAACATTCTTGATGGATGCGCCTTTTCTCCAGGCCCTTTAAATTGTGATTTTGAAATAGCTGTTGTTTGTGAGTTTTTATTTACTATGAGCTAAGCAGTGTTCTAAACACTCTAAAACCTCATTTAATTCTCTCAATGTATAATGGGGTTAGCTTTGTGGGAGAGGAGCAAAAACACATATATGCAGCGCCCTGAGCTTTAGAGCTGAGACTTAGGCTGAAGTTTAAGCGTAGGGTGTGTGTTCCAGGCCTCAGCCTACCTGCTGTGCTGTAGGTACTGTCCTGTGGATGATAGATACAGACAATCACTGCCCTCAAAGTCTTCATTCCCTGTGTTTATTATGATTATGCTGTGGGTAAAGTGGTCTTGAGTGAAGCAGTGATGCACAGTGTGAATACAGTCACATGATATTGAAAAGCTACACAAAACTAAAAGATAAGTTGTAATTGAGAATCATAGATGGCTTCATTTAATCCCTCATATTCTAAGGAAGTCGTTTATCATTAAATAAGTAAGTGTTTCTAAGAGAGGGAAATGCTCATATATCCCGTGAAACAGTATTTTTGTAGCATTCCTACATAGATTATGGTAGTCTTGTTTAATTTGATTCAGAACTTATCGCATAGTTCTCGAGCACATAACACAGGGTTTTCTTTTCATAGCTGACACTGAAACTTTATTCTCTGCAGGTTAATAAGAGGAACCACTTTTTATTAGAACCTTGAGTTAGATACAGGTAAGATTGCTTTGAGTTCCTGCTTAGCCATTTTGTGCCCCTGTGGTTATCTCTGTGTTACACATTAACTGAACACTTAGAGTTAGGTAGCCTTTGTACCTTAGCTGTCAGAGATACTGTAATTCTAGTCAGGATTTTTTTTGGGGGGCGGGGATGGCGTTATTTGAGACAGGGTTTCTCTGTGTAGCCCTGGCTGTTCTGGATCTCACTCTGTTACCAGGCTAGACTTGAACTCACAGAGATATGCCTGCCTCTGCCCCACCAAGGACTAGGATTAAAGGTGGGCGCCACCACCACCTGACCCAAACACCAGCTTTTAAAAAATATAGATGTTTGGTTTTTTTCTTTTTAGAAATTACTATGAAGTTAGCCCCTCCCCCACCTTGGTGGTATTTTTCTTGGGTTTTTTTGTTTGTTTTTTTAACATATGAAGAGATCCTCTAAGTAGTTAAAAACTAAAAAAGTTTTATCTAGCTCTAGTCTTTTTAGCTTATCTAGGTCTGAGTACATTTGTTTCCTTTGAATATAAACATTAAAATTGAAGCAAACCTCTGTGTATTTTCTACATACCTCAGGTCACCCTAGGCAGACTCGAGGTTATTTATTTATTTTTTTTTGTTGTTTTTTGTTTTGTTTTGTTTTTTTTGTTTTTTCGAAACAGGGTTTCTCTGTGTAGCTCTGCGACTTTCCTGGATCTCACTCTGTAGACCAGGCTGGCCTCGAACTCACAGAGATCCACCTGTCTCTGCCTCCCGAGTGCTGGGATTAAAGGCGTGCGCCACCACCACCCAGCCTATTTATTTGTTTTTAATGTGCATAGGCTTCAGCATTTGTCCGGTTATGTGTATCACATGCATTCAGGAAACCCTTGGAGGCCGGAAGAAGGCATCAGACCTTCTGGAACTGAAGTTAGAGACAGTTGTGAGCTGCTGTGTGGGTGCTGGGAGCTGGACCTGGGTCTTCTGCATGAGTAGTAGGCACTTGGAATCACTGGGCCATTTCTCTAGACCCACCTTAATCTACCTTGAATCCCAGAAGGATAAGACTTACTACCTGATTGAAAACTGACATGATGATACTCAAAGCAGTTTGTAAAAAGGCAGATTGGAAAACGGATGAACAATATGTGCTAATGGGTTATAATAAAGTATCTTGTTAAAATGGGATGATATCATATTATAAAATGCCTAAAGTGTAACCCTGCTCATGTGAACAGTCATGAGCTTATTGAGATCCATGTGAACTGGATTTTCATAAATGAACTGGAACTTGAATTTTCTGTTAAAGATTAAGTCAATTGCCCAAAAGGAGGAAGAAGGCTCCTAAGAAGAAAATAGGTCCTATTTTTATTTTTTCCTTTTTTTCCCCTACAAAATCAGAATCTTTTTTTCACCTAGGATGATCTTTGGTATGGTATTTCCTCAGTCTTAGATAAAAAGGATTCTTACTGTTAAGACTGGGTCTCCTGGGTTCAATTCCCAGCACCCACATGGCAGCTCACAACTGTCTGTAACTCCTGTTCCAGGGCATCTGACACCCTCACACAGACAGACATGCAGGCAAAACACCAATGCACATAAAATACAAACAAATACAATATTAAAAAAAAAAAAAAAAAGACTGGGCTCATTAGGCAGCCCTGCTTGGCCTGGACTTTACTGTGTAGGTCAAACTGGCCTCAGACTAGCGAAGTTCTGTCTGCCTCTGCCTTTAGCACTAGAATTAAAGGGATATGCCACCACGTCTAGGGCACCGCTCTCCCTTTCATATGGAGACATGAGCCCAGAGCTTTCACAGGCTGGCCACTGGTTCTCTAGCAGTGAGCCAATTCCACTGCCTGCCTAGTGTGTGCATGTGTGCGGGTACATATGTGTGTGCTGACTGATGAGTGCTCCTGTGTGGTATGAGTGGAGGCTAGAGGTCAGTGGTGCGTTCCTTTGTCTGTTGCTCTTCACCTTGACTTTTTTAAGACAGGAAACCTGTCTTATTGAACCTACCTGGATCCTTCTGTCTCATGCCAAATGCTAGGATACAAGAATGCAGTCTCTTTACTTTTCGTTTTGAGACAGGGTCTCACCAGGTTGCCCAGGCTGGCCTGGAACTCATTCTGTAACCCAGGATAGACTTGGATCTGTGATCCATTCTTCCTTCCTTCCTTTTCTTCCTGAAAAGCTAGAATTACAGCTCAGGTATGTCAAAACACTCATCTATGTGCAGCACACTTTATTTGAGTCTATAATACATGTTATCCTGTTTAAAACTCATCCTGTCCCATGAGGTCACCCTTAATTAATTTATTTATTTATGTATGTATTTTTTGGTTTTTTAAGACAGGGTTTCTCTGTGTAGCCCTGGCTGTCCTAGAACATGTTCTGTAGACTGGGCTGACCTTGGACTCAGAGATCCTCCTGAGGTACTCATTTTTCAAGTGTAGAAGCCAGGGCTCAGGAAAGCTAAGCCGTGTCTAACAACATACCATATCTAATAGTAGCAGGGCCAGTGTCCAACGTCAGAGGTGACTGTTGATCAGGACTTTAACCATGTAGTACAAGAGTGCCGTCCCACTTTACCCAGCTTACATTCGCTTTGTTTTGTCTTGTTTTCTTTCAGGTTTTTGTTGTTGTTCTGTTTTTTGAGAGAAGGTCTCACTGTGTAGCCCTGGCTGGCCTGAAACTCATTATGTAGACCAGGCTATCCTTCCAGCTTTTGTAGCCTGGCTGGCCTGGCACTCCTGATCCTCCTGCTTCCAGTTGCCAAGTGTGGAGATTGCAGTCATGTGCCACTGTGCCCAGCTTACCTAGTACCCTTTCTAGAATGAAGTTCTTTCCTTTTTTGCTTGTTTTGAGGCAGGGTCTCATGTAGCTGAGCTGGCCTCACACTCGCTGTGTGATGACAGATGACCTTGAACTAGTCCTCCTCCTGCTCCGGCTTCCGTCACGCTGGTCTTGCAGGTGTGTGAGCTCATGCCTAGCTCCCAAAACGAGTGTCTGGTCCTCTTAGTTTACTGTGCATGGTAGGTGCAGTGCCATTGTTTCTTCTGGACAGTAATATTTTTATTTTAAATTTGTATGTGTGTGAATGCACGTGTGCAAGTGGAGTCAGGACAGTCTCTACCCCGTGTGTCACATGTGTCATGGGTGCCACGTGATTAGACTTGGGTTGTCGGTTTGGAGTCAGGCACCTTTACTCATTGAGCTATCTTGCCAGCCCTTTCTCAGTACTTTTTTTAAATCTAACATTTTTATTGTTGTTGTTGATTTGAAACAGGTCCCGTGTGCCTAGTCTAGCCAGGAAGTAGCTGAAACAGAATGTCCATGAACTTCTGATTGTCCAGTTTCTCTGGAGAGCTAAGGCTGTAGGACTGTGTGTGCCACCCCCCATGCCATGGGTAGAGGGCCTCTGCATGCCAGCTTGGCACTCTGCCACTCAGCTACATCCCATTGATGAGGATAGAAAAACTGAATAGCCAACTTACAGGCAGTTAGAAACAAGAGCTTGAATTTTGGAGGTAAACTTCTGAGTTCAGTCTTGGCTGTCTCTTTGGAGTTTGTACAAATCATCTAACTTTCTGCAGCTTAATTTTGCCATTTGTAAAATCCTCCAGTGGGCCTGGTCTCCAAAGCGAGTTCCAGGAAAGGCGCAAAGCTACACAGAGAAACCCTGTCTCGAAAAACAAAAAACAAAAAAACAAAAAAAAAAAAAATCCTCCAGTGGAAACTATTTGAAAGCATAACATTCAGTTCTGAAGCCCTGCTCTGGAAACTAATCAAAGGAACTTGATGCTCTGAAGAGTTAGGAAGCCGATGAGTGTTGAGAGCATTGATTTACCTGGCAGGGAAACAGGAGGGGTCGAAGGAGAAAGGAGGGTAGAAGTCCATAATGCAGGATTTGGATGTTCAAGCAGTAAGTGAAGAAGTGCAGAGTAGGAGATGGGAAAGTCTAGAGTTCTATTCTGCAGTGACTCGGAGTCAAGTCGGTCAGGAGAAATCTCAGCACATTTAGTGGTACAAAGGGAAATACTGACAGATAATGCTGTTGACTTAAGAGTGCAAGAGCAAGGGCGGTGGTGGCACACGCCTTTAATCCCAGCACTTGGGAGGCAGAGACAGGCGGATCTCTGTGAGTTCGAGGCCAGCCTGGTCTACAGAGTGAGATCCAGGAAAGGCGCAAAGCTACACAGAGAAACCCTGTCTCGAAAAACCAAAAAAAAAAAAAAAAAAAAGAGCGCAAGAGCAGCAGCAGGGTTATGTGAGCCAGGGCTGGAGAGATGGCTCCAAGGTGAGAGCACTGGCTGCTTTTGCAGGGACCCAGGTTCAGTTCCCAGCACTCAAAACCACCTCCAGCCCCAGTTGCAGTGGATCTTCTGCTGCCTTCTGGCCTCTGTGGGCAATGCACTCACGTGGTGCACAGACATATGTGCAGGCAAAACACCCATACACATAAAAATAACCTTCATTTGTGCAGCTAGCAGTTGGTGAGTTAATGAATAAAGAAACTGGGGATTAATGTCATTAAATAAAATCATTTAGAATTTCAAAGTTAGAACCAGAAATGTGTGGAAATGAAAATATAAAAGGTCTCAATTACAGAGAAATAATAGCTACCCAAAAAGAGCCATGGGATTAAAGGTGTGCACTGCCACTGCGGCCCGGCACACACACACACACACACACACACACACACACACACACACACACACACACATCCTTCTGGTGGGGTGGTTTTTTACAGGCTGATTTTTTTTTTAGCTGAGGACTGTACATTGAGCACCCTTAACTGAAGCATCTGAAGAGTTGCATATTTTGAAGCATTTTAGATTTTGTACCTAGGCATGTTGAGCTCTATAAAATATTCCAGGATCAGAGAAACTCCGAAATCTGAAGCATTTCTGGTCCCTGTCATTTCAGATAATGGGCACTCAACTATGTAATCCATAGAGAATTAGAGTAATGGAATATTTGTCCCAAAAATAGTCTAATATGGACATTTTATGTCTAATATTGGACATTTCCAACAATACATTTATATTATTGGTACTGGGGTATTAATATTTTAGTGATTCGTTCAGTATGTTTCTATGTATTTTTTAATATTCTGTGTTATATGCTCAGTATATTTCTCTGTAAAATGTTCATTTTAGCAGAATGAAGTTAAAGGAAATAGATCGTACAGCTATGCAGGCATGGAGCCCTGCCCAGAACCACCCCATTTACCTGGCCACAGGTAAGTTCAAAAGAGAAGACAATGTGGTTACCTAAGTCTATGCCTGCCTTCTTCTTTGTATGTTAAGCTTTAGTTCAAGCTTCATCTTCTCTGAAAAGTTTCTCCTTCTCCAGCAAGATACCTCCTTCCTCCCTGTACTAAATGTGGTAACCTTCCTGTGTTCACAGTGCTGTCCTTGATGGCACTGATCGTGTGTTACGTACATAGTATCTTTCCCAGTGCACAGGAATCAAGTTCATCTTTAGCCCACCAGAAGTTGGGACAGCAGATGACATAACAAAGAGTCTGAATGAATCATGAGCAAACTTGACAGAAGCACTTTAAATAAGAGCACTTTGTATAGGACTTAAAGCAGATACGGTGCATTATGGGACTGTTTGTCCAGAGAGATTCTAAGATAGCTACAGCCTTTAAATGTTACCTGTAAATACCTACTCTTGTAGACATCATCTCCCAGCCTTGGGCCAGAATTTTATTGCTGCAGTCACTTGGACATGCTCAGTGGCATATGTGTTTCAGCCACAGATGTATTCATGACAATTAAAGACATGCTTTTAGTTTCTCTTTCCTGCCACTTTCTGAGTCTTTTGTTTTGCATATGTAGTTACCATACATATATTTTCTGTAGGAACATCTGCTCAGCAGTTGGATGCAACGTTTAGTACCAATGCTTCCCTGGAGATATTTGAGTTAGACCTTTCAGACCCATCCTTGGATATGAAGTCTTGTGCTACTTTCTCCTCTGCTCACAGGTATGAGATTCAGCCTTAAGGCCATATTATTATTTAAGCATATGTTGTGGGCCAGGCGGTGGTGGCACAAGCCTTTAATCCCAGTACTTGGGAAAAAGAGCCAGGAGGATCTTTGTGAGTTCGAGGTCAGCCTGGCCTACAGAGTGAGTTCCAGGACAGGCACCAAAGCTACACAGAGAAACCCTGTCTCGAAAAAAACAAACAAACAAACAAACAAAAGGTATATGTTGTGGTAGATGGCTTTATTTTATTTTATTTTTTATTTTGAGGCAGGGTCTCCTGTAGCCCAGGTGGACCTGGAACTCCTGGTAGCCAAGAATGGCCTTGAAGTTCTGCTCCTCCTGCCTCTGTGTCCTGAGTGCTAGGGTTATGGGCAAGTGCCACCACTGCTGGTTTGTGTAGTGCCTGTGACGGAACCCAGGACTCTGCATGCTGGGCAAGCACTCTGCCAAATGAGCCACACCCCAGTCCTGTGGTCTACCTCTGTCTGTAGTTAGGATTGTTAAAACATTTAAGGAGTAATGCCAGTGACATGAAAAACTTGTGAAAAAGTGTACAAGTGCATTTTTGTGGAAGTAAAGTATTGATAAGTCCTGTTGAAGGTTTCATCGCTGTTATGTATAGTGTGGCCAGAAGTCTCCAACCCCTAACATCCTTCTTTTCTCAATGTAGGAGAGTTACTTGTTTGTCTCTTTTATCTTATAAAATGTAGGTATGACTAAAGAAGGGAGTATGTGTGTATTTTTATACACACACATAGTTTATATACACACAGGATCTCTCTGTGTAGTCTTGATTGTCCTATGTAGACTAGGCTGACCTTGAACTCACAGAAATCCTCCTGCCTCTACCTCCTTAGTCCTGGGATTTAAGGTGTTCATTACTGCTCCTGGCTACCATGCCTGGTTATTTATTATTTTATGGGAGTTTATGTGGGAAGGGGTATATGTGAAAGAGTGGACAACTTGTAGAAATTGGTTTTCAACTTCTACCATGTTGGTCCTGGGATCAAACTCACATTGTCAGGATTGGCAGCAAGTGCCTTCACTTTCTCAGTCATCTCTCTGGCCCACTCACGCTGTATTATATATAACGTAGAGAAAGTACACTCAATTTCAGCAGTGAAACAAACGGTGTATTTTTCAAGTTTTATGTGCATTGTTGTTTTGCCTGCATGTATGTCTGTGTGACGGTGTCAGAAGCCCTGAAACTGGAGTTAGAGACAGGTGTGAGCTGCATGTGGGTGCTGGGAATTGAACACAGATCCTCTGGAAGAGCAGCTAATGCTCTTGACTGCCGGGAGCCATCCCTGGTGGTGGACAGGTCCAACAGAGGATATAAGGAGGTGATGGGAGACAGAAGTGAGCCAGGCCATGGTGGTGGTGAGAATCATGCAGCCTGACTGACTAGCAGCCGGAGTGCTTCTTTATTTATACAGAATTTAGTTAGCAGGGATACATTCATGATGTTCCAAAACATAGATCATAACGTTTTTGCTATGGACATGTGTTTCACTTCCTTTTGCTCATCTTTTAATTATCATTAATAAACTATGACAAAACAGAATTATCATTTCCTATCATTTTCCCTCAAGTTTTGATATCATTGATAAACAGTTATCATAGTTTTTTAAATTTATTTAACTTTATTTATGTGCATTGGTGTGAAGATGTAAGATCTCCTGGAAATGGAATTACAGACAGTTGTGAGCTGCCATGTGGGTCCTCTGGAAGAGCAGTCAGTATTCTTAACCACTGAGCCATCTCTCCAGCTCCCAGAGTTATCATTTTTACTCATTAACCCAAAACCCAATTTTTAAGAATCTAGAGGTATATGACAGCCTGTTCTCAGGCTGGTAGCATTTGTGGCTACAAGGACTGTAGACCAAAACAAAATCTTCAAGCCAGCTTGGGCATATTGCCATGTCCCAAGCAGTGTCTTACTCTTTTTTTTTTTTTTTTTAATTTTTGGAGACAGAGTTTCTCTGTTTAACAGTCCTAGATGTCCTTGAACTCACTTTATAGACCAGGTTGCCCTCGAACTCACAGAGATTTGCCTGCCTCTGCGTCCCAAGTGCTGGGATTAAAGGCGTGCGCCACCACCGCCCGGCAACTCTTGGTGGTCAGAGTGCCCAAGAAAAAACCTCAGGCAAAGCTGCTGCGTTATTATTTAAATTCTGGCATAATACAATCTTTATATTTTATATCTTTATATGTCTAATCCTGGCATTCTGTTGTTCCTTGATCATAGGACACCACAGTGGCTCTGCATGTGTTAACTTTTCTAAGAAAGGGAGATCCTGACATCTCATTCTTTTATCATCTTTCCAATTCATTCTTTGTTCATCAATATAAGTCTCTGTGTAGGGCAGAGGTATCTGCCACGTAATTGCCTGAGTATGTATAGTGGGAAGAGGCTTGCAATCTGATCTGTGGCCCACTCCTCTAGCCCGCCGAATCTTGTTGACCTTTTTGAGTTTACTTTGTTTTGAATATCTTGTTCCTGCATAAGTATAGGGACAGATGTTTCAAGAATGTTTCATAGCCTCATAAAGAGACCTCTGGCTTCTTTTAAGTGTCACAACCTCCAAGGCAAAAGGAAGAACTTCAAGTAGATAAGGCTATCTCTCTAAAAGTGGGAGGGGTAGTATGTTCAGGACTTTCCTGGGGAACCTTAGAAGCAATACTCCTGGGAGAAAGCATAAATGATACATAAGAAATTTTCCATCAATCTAGTACCCACAAATTATATAAATATTAAAAGTCTCCCAAGTATGCAACAGGTGGAGATGAAAACCAAAAGTGGCATGGCAGCCATCCCGTAACTCAGCTTTGCTGGGTCTTTGTCAGGCAGCTGTGCTGGTCTTACGGCTTTTGCCATTCCCATCAGCTGTGGCGGTGCCACTTAACCGCTGAGCCTGTTTTGAGCAGGTTTTAAAGAGGTGTTCAGTCGATGAGAGTGTAGCCTGAGTCATGGAGCTCTGTGGGTCCTCTCATGCTTGCAGTTTCTCCCGTGATGAGATCCCAAGGTCCACTCTCGTCCCTAAGGTTTTCTACCCACTGTCTGTTTCAGGCCATATGCTTTCATTCCACATGAGGCCAGGGTCATTGTCCTCTACTAGAAATAAAACACGTAATTTTGAAACCATGTCTCTACTTAGAAAATTTCCAATGACTCCCTTAATACTTTTACTGTTCCTGTTCCTTGGGCTACATATTCATGAACACTTCTATACTCAAATGGAAAGTTTTCTTTTTCTTTATCTCTCTCTTTCTTGAGACAGGGTTTCTCTATGTAGTCCTGGCTGTCCTGGAACTCACTCTGTAGACCAGGCTGGCCTTGAATTCACAGAGATTCTCCTGCCTCTGCCTCCCGAGTGCTGGGATTAAATCATCTGGCCCAATGTTTTATTTTCTAAGAAAGCAGTTGATTAGCTCTGTTGTACAGGTGAACAAAATACGTTTTGGGATTATTAAGTAGCTTGCCCAGGGTTGCACAGTTTTTAAATGATAAAGTCCTTTTTAAGTTCAAGTAAACTTCTATACTATATTTTTCTGGAGAGTTTTCACTGTTTAGAGATCAGGTAATCAATATAAATACATAAGTAGACATTAAAATTCTATTTTACTGGGGATACAGTCAGCAGGAGTCAAAGAGAAAAAAGAAACCACAGTTTGTATTACATAGAAAGATATAGATGAAAATATAATTAAAAATATTTATACACTTATTTGACTCTAAGAATGAATTATTTATTTTCTCCTTAAGGTACCACAAGTTGATCTGGGGACCTCATAAGATGGATTCCAAAGGAGATATTTCTGGAGTTCTGATTGCAGGTGGAGAAAATGGAAACATTATTCTTTATGATCCTTCTAAAATCATAGCTGGAGACAAGGAAGTTGTGATTGCCCAAAAGGACAAGCATACTGGGCCAGTGAGAGCCTTGGATATAAACATTTTCCAGGTTTGACTTTGACATTCATTCATGATTTTTTTTTATTTGGTTTTGTTTTTTCCCCCCCATTCATGGTTCTTAAAATATTTGTTCTTCATTTGAAATAACTACTAGGCTTCAGTATTAGGAATGAAAGGTAAAGACTTATTCCTGTACAATTCAGAGTTCAGATTAGAAGCCGGGCATAGACATGGTGGCACACGCCTGTTACCTCAGCACTTGGGAGGTGCAGGCAAAAGGATCAGGAATTTGAGGCTAGCCTCAGCTACATAGTAAGTTCAAGACCCTGTCTCAAACAACAACAGAACCCCAGGGCACTGAGGAGCTAGCTGGATTGGTAAAGTGTTTACATTGTACGCGGAACACTTGGTTCAATCCTCAGGACCCTATGAAAGGGGTGGTTGGGGTGGCACACACTGCACCCGTGATCTCAGTCCTGAGGAGGTGGAGCCAGGAGCCCTGGGGCTCACTGGCCAGCTAGTCTAGCCTGTTTGGTGGGTTCCATGCCAGTGAGATCTTACCTCAGAGGAGGTGGACAGTGCTTCTGAGGGTGACATCTGAGGTAGGTCTCTGACCTCGTATGCACATGTGCACAGATGCATGAGCACCCACATTTCACATGATGGGGTACCCAACCAAACACGCACAAACAGATAATATCTGCCCTGAGCAGAGCTGAGACTGAAACTTTTAGCTGATAGGTTGGCTTATATTTATATTTAGAAGTTTAAAATGTCATGCCATCTGCCCGGACACCTTTAGATATTAGGAGCGCCAGACTTTGGAAACTTTAAAGCTTATGTTAGGTCAGCTCATAGCACCAGTTGATAAAAATTTATGAGCATGAAAAGTAGTCTATGAGGTCAGTTTGTGAAGCCCATTATTCTTGTACTTCTCACCACTTTTAGGATCGTTTTAACCCAATGAACTTGAAGTAGAAATCACCCGGAAATACTGTTCATTGTAACAAAACTATGTGCTCATGAGCTAGACGTATGTGAAAACAGCGGCAGGGTGCTGGCTGTGAGGTGCCCCGAGAAAGATGCAGTAGATGTAGGATGTAGTTGTAGGATCTGGGTGTCTTTGAGAGCAACTGCTTTTGTTCTATGGTCACAATTTCTTCCAGAGATGCACAACCACAAACATTGGTCCCTACATGGATAATGTGCTTGATTCTTTAACAGTTGAACCATGTAACTGCTCTTTTTTGTAATGTATTGCTTTAAAATAGTTTCATAAAAAGTTAACTTTGATGAAGAATTATGGATAATTAGGAAGCCAAACGTGATTGTTTTGAATCAGTAGAAAAACTCTATGTATTAAAGTCAACATTTTAGTTTTTAGTTATTCTGCGTTTTCAGTTATTTGTTATTTGAGTATTGTTTCTTTTTGCAGACCAATTTGGTGGCCTCTGGTGCTAATGAATCTGAAATCTACATTTGGGATCTAAACAATTTCGCAACTCCAATGACACCAGGAGCCAAAACACAGGTATAATATGAATTGTTGATCAGTGTAATCAAAGGAACCAAAATCCGTTCTTTTAAATGTATTTATGTTGATTTTAAGTTTTTTGAATGCAAACCAGTACTTACGTATCATTAATTTTCTATGGCATAGTAAAGTATTGATAACTATATTTCTCTTATAAGTTGGAGGCAGGAGGATTGCTTTGAGTTTGAAGTCAGCTTAAATATAGAATGAGACCTTATCTAAAATAAAATGTTGATAGGTGTGGTGGCACAGGCCTTTAACCCTGGCACTCAGCAGGCAGAGTCAGGCAGATCTCTGTGAGTTCAAGGCCAGTATGATCTACAGAGTGAGTTCCAGACCAGCTAGGGCTGCATAATGAGACAGTGTCTCAAAAAATAAAACCAAATGCAGTCTTTCTGCAAGGAAGGTATCAGTGATCTTTGAACAGTAAGTAGTCATTCATCACCTACCAACTGGCAGTATTTGTTGTACTAGGCCTGGAGAAGTCCGCAAACCAGACAGATGTTTGATAATTGTTTCACAGTGACAGTCTCGTTCTTCGATAAATAGTAGCGGTTTTATCAGTGTTCTGATTTACTAAATAAACTCACTCCTGTGTATTTCATGAAGACTGGGCAATAGCAGCTGCTCATTTTAAATTTCGCATTGTGTAGAGTCCCAGTTTTACTGGCCCTTGTAACTGCTCCTACCATTTTGAAGTCTTGAAAGGTAGCTTAATGATGGCCTATAGTTTACCACTTCTAAAAGCATTTTTTCCTGGTAGTCTAGCCTGCTGTTTTTGTCCGGCATAATTAGAGGTAGTACTCACCGGCCATCAGTCTTGTAGTTTGTGGTCTATCTTGCAACAACTACAAATAAAGAAATGGCTTGGTTTATAGCAAGAACTCAACACATGCTTGTTGGATGAGGCAACAATATTAAACAATAGAAAGTATTTGAAACTATGTAGAGTTGTGTTTTAAACAATATGGTACGTGTTGTGAATATATGAATAGAAAGGAAATTTGTGGAGAAATGGATCTAATTTTTAAGTAATAGATTTAAAAACAAACAAACAAAAAGGATTAGCCAGGCATGATGGTATATGCTTTTAACCCCAGACCTTGGGAAGCAGAGGCTGATGGATCTCTGTGAGTTCCAGGAGAACCAGAGCTACATAGTGAGGCCCTGTCTGTTTCAAAAAAAAAAAAAAAGAAAGAAAGAAAGAAAGAAAGAAAAAATTATAAATGAAGAATCAGAATTTATGATTAAATTTATCTTACCATGTAGCTCTGTCTGTCCCAAAACTCAGTATATAGACCTAGGCTGGCCCTGAACTCAGAAATTGGCCTGCCTCCAGCATGCTGGGATTAAAGGTGTGTGCCCCCACACCTGGCTTTATAATTAAATTTGAATGTAGTAATGTTCTAGTTACTTTCTGATGCTGTGATTAAACAGTACCCAAAGTCAACCTGAGGGAGGAAGGCCTATGTCACTTCCATGTCCCGGTCACAGTCTGTCACTGGGGAGAGCTTGCTTCCCCTGGCTTGGCTAGTTTCTTTCCTTCTATAGCCTAGACCCACCTGCCCAGGGCTGGTACCTCCCTCTATGTGCTGGGCACCCCCACATCAGTCAGCAGTCAGAAAGTGTTACACAGACACCCCTCCGAGCTGGCTCATGGAGGCAGTTCCTCAGTGAGGCTCTCCCAGTGACTCCAGTCTCTCGGGTTGACAGCTGACCAGCACAGCATGGCAGTGGTTTTAATGGTGTGTTCCTTTGTAGCCACCGGAGGACATCAGCTGCATCGCATGGAACAGGCAAGTTCAGCATATTTTAGCATCAGCCAGTCCCAGTGGCCGGGCAACCGTGTGGGATCTTAGGAAAAATGAGCCCATCATCAAAGTCAGTGACCACAGTAACAGGGTAAGTATAGGACTGACTTATGATAAACACAGTACTTCTACTGTAAGTGCCCTGGGGCTTGTTTCAAGAAATCAGATTTTTGTAAAATTAAAATCCTGTCTTTTATTAATCGGCTAATAGTGGGATGAATGCCCCTACCCTTCAGTACAGTAATTAAGTACCCAGTAAACCATGTTGGATATGTTTTTTATTTTCTAAGCATTGCATTTAGTAATTTCATGTGCCTCTGTGTGTGTGTGTGTGTGTGTGTGAGAGAGTGTGAGCACGTGTGCTATGAAGCACATGTTGAGTTCAGAGGACAGCTTTTGGGAATTGTTCAAACTCAGGTGTGGGGGGCTTAGTGGCAGGCACCTTTGCCCAGTGAGCCCTCTTGGTGGCCTGATTTTCTTTCCTCCTTCTCTCCTTCTCTCCCTTCTTCCTTCCTTTCTTCCTTCCTTCCTTCCTTCCTTCCTTCCTTCCTTCCTTCCTTCCTTCCTTTCTTTCTTTCTTTGTTTAAAACTTCAAAAATACTTTTATTACATTTATGGTGTTCTGGGTTTTTTTTTGTTGGTGGTGTGTGAGCATTCACACTCCATTGTGCACTGTGTGGTCCTTCAAGGACTTGGTTCTCCTTCTACCATGGGGATCCCAAACTTAAACTTAGGTCTCCAGGTTTGGCAGCAAGTGCCTTTACATGCTGAGCCCTGTTGCCCACCCTGGTAAAGATTTCCTAAAACAAGAGTGCCTAAGTCAGAGTGTGTGTGTCATTTAAAATACCGCAGAGCTGTTGAAAGAACCTTCCTCTAGATGACTACAGTTTAAGTGACCAGGAATGTTAACACAGGTTCCAGTGGAACAAAGCATTCGAAATAATCTTAATCATTATGTAGAATATTTATTAGAGTTTAAACTTTTGGGTCATTCTCAATAATAGTAATTGTCTCATGAAACTTTGGATGGTAGTTGTTGCTTAAGTTTTTTTTTTTGAGGAAAAGTAGAAGGCCTTTTAGTTTTTAATTGACAACTTTTATCTTTTTATTTTTGAAAGTGTTATATTTTAAGTTTGTATAAAACAATTTTCTCTTTTTTTAAATCTATTTATTATGTATACAGTGTTCTGCTTACATGTATGACTGCACGTCAGAAGAGGGCACCAGATCTCATTACAGATGGTTGTGAGCCACCATATGGTTGCTGGGAATTGAACTCAGGACCTCTGAAAGAGCAACCAGTGCTCTTAACCTCTGAGCCATCTCTCCAGCCCCCAAAACAATTCTCTAAGTTACAGTATTGATAGTGAAATTCATTTTAGATAATAGAATTATTTTGATTCTGAATTGCTTTATGTGTATCAAGTAGATGAATAGAAAACATACAAATGCTGTATTTCCAAGACTATTTAAGCCTGTTTAGTAACATTTAAAAGATTGGGAACTAGTCTGAGCTGATGCTTTTTCCTGTTCATTTCAGTTGCGACGTAGTCTTCAAATTCTAATTCTGCTTTTCATAAAGTAACATGGTTGCTAAGATGTGAGCCTTACCTGTCTGCAGATGCATTGCTCTGGGCTGGCATGGCACCCTGATGTTGCTACGCAGATGGTCCTGGCCTCTGAGGATGATCGGTTACCAGTGATCCAGATGTGGGATCTTCGATTTGCCTCCTCTCCTCTCCGGGTTCTGGAAAATCATGCCAGGTACCATGCTGCTGTTTCAGGGAACTTCGTTTCTTCATGTTTTTGTTCTAAAACATAATTCCTCGTTTTTATTTTAAGCAGTAGTTAGGATTTTCTCTCCAAAATGGTAGATAGATCATATCATGCTACCATGAATCCTTTGCTAGAACATTTTCCACTGCTTACTTCAAATACTGAAGCAAGGCATAGAGATGTGTATCTGTAATCCCAGCACTTGGCAGTCAGAGGTAAGGAGGTCAGGGGTTCAAGGCCGTCCTCAGCTAGAAACTAAAATCACCTAAAATAGTAAAAATTTGAGTATGTCAAACTCTTGACATTAACTGTAGAGTTAGATCTGTATTAGTCATCAGACCTAAGAAAATTGATGCTGTATAGAAACAGTTTAGAAACTGGTTTGATTCTGTTTCCATTTTCCTTTAGAAGCAAACATTTTTGAGAAATTAGGTGATCTGCTTTCAGTTTGCATTAATATGTTGAGTAGATATTCTGAAAAATGGAAATTTTCTGGTATTTTAGTGTCATTGTATTTCATTATTTGGCAAATTTCCTATCATTGATACTTAGGTAGTAGCAAATTTATGTAAATTAGTTCAGTGTGTGTAAATAAGAAAATTCCTTGTAATATTTTACTAGTTTCTAGCTTGGTAGTGTTGGCACACATCTTTAATCCCAGCACTCGGGAGGAAGAGCCAGGAGGCTCTCTGTGAGTTTGATGCCAGCTTGGTCTACAGAGCGAGATCCAGGACAGGCACCAGAACAACACAGAGAATCCCTATCTCGAAAAAACCAAAAAAACAAACAAACAAAAAAAAAAAGAATGAAAAAGAAAGACAGCATTTAATTGGGGGCTTGTTTCTAGTTTCAGAGGGTGAGTTCATGACCATCATGGTGAGGAGCATGGCAACAGGTGTGGTGCTGGAGCAGTAGATGAGAGCTCACATCCGATCCATAGGCAAAGACTGGGCCTGCCATGGGCTTGTGAAACCTCAAAACCAACTCTAGTGTTACACCTTCTCCAGCAAGGCCACACCTCCTAATCCTTCCCAAGTGGTTCCAACAGTTGGGGATGTCTATTCAAACATGAGCCTATGGGGTTCATTCTCATCCAAACCACCGCATGAACTTCAGGGAATCTGCATTGTAAAGGGAAGACAGCTAACTTACAGACATAACATAGTGTGCAAGCATTGCACACGCACCGTAATCAATCCTCATCACAGAATTAACTGTAGAAACTGCTATTGCATGTCTCACAGGCCAGAAATTGAAGCTCAGCAAGGTTCAACTTGTCCAAGGTCATATATAAGCAGTCCAACCTCAGTGCTGATCTCAGAGTGGTCTAACACCACACTCTACCACAGAGCTTGGGAAGGAACCATCAGAATTTAGTAACGCCCACTGCTGGATGACAGAAACAATCTCTCTAGTTGGCAGTTTTCTTATACTAATAAATGGTAGATTATTTGATCTTTTGGTTCTCTTCCATCCCTGTAGTTCTAGGGATGGATATAGTATAATGTATAATATATTGGGCTGGAGAGATGACTCAGTAGTCAAGAGCGCTTGTTGCTCTTCCAGAGGACCTGAGTTTATTTTTCAGCACTCACATGGCAGCTCACAACCCTCTGTCACTCTAGCTCAGGGGATCTGATGGCTCCAAGCTTGCTTGGACACCTGCACTCGCATGCGTGCGCATTACAATTTTTTTTTTAAATGAACAAACCTTGGCTATTTGTTGTAGTATTGTTGCTGTATTAGAGATCAAACCCAAGGCCTTGTATATGCTAAGCAAGTGCTTACCACTGAGCAAAATACTCAGACCTCCAATTGTGTGCTCTTAAGAAATAACCAAACATAATTCTGGTTTCTCATAGAATCTCTGAGTAACATAGATATGAATATAGAAAAGACAAAATAGTTAATTCTGACTTTCTCTAAATGTTGAGTACAGATGATTGGGGGTGGGGGTGGGGGGGTGTACACATGTTTGTGGCAGCCGGAAGTCAACGCTTGATGCCTTTCCAAGCATTCCTTAGCCATATATTCTTGAGACAGTCTTCCACTGAACCTGGAGTCACCGTTGGACATATAGCTGGCAGATGAGCTCTATGGATCTGCCTTTCTCCACCCCCCTAGCTGGGATTTCAAATGTGTGCTGTCATACCTGGCTTCGTGTGGAAAGGAGTATGGATGTGGATGCATATACACCACTCCACATGCTGTGGAGGTCACAGTAGCCTGCGGTAGTCAGTGTCTCCTCTCACAGACCCAGGGATTGAACTGAGGTCTTAGGGCTTGGCAGTAGGTGCCTTTACTTACTCAGGGAGCTGTTTTTAGACACAGTGTGTGGCAAGCACCTCACTATTGAGTCATCACCCTACCCCAAGGATTATACTGTGTGTAGCCCAAGGAATATCCTGTATTACCATTATACTGAGGTCAGAATATCCCTACTCTAAGACAGTAATCTGTAAGACCATGCTTCTAGACTTAGAGTTTAATATTTCTTTGAAAAATATCTAAATTTTTCTTTTCAGTATACTCAATAAAGAGTACTTCCTGACAGAAGCTAAAAACAGGACTGAGGATGTAGAGCACTGACTTCCCATGTAGAGGCTTTTTTTTTTTTTGGAGACAGGATTGTTCTGTGTGTAGACCAAGCTGGACTAAAACAGAGATTCATTTGCCACTGGTATTACAGGCTTGCACCGCCACCACCCAGCTATATGAGGCATTTTACCTGTGTTCTTTGTCATAAGTAGCCCGCCTGTGAGTTAATACTCCACAGCCCGTGTTGTTGGGCATTCACTCTCATTGTTTGCCATCTGCACAGTGCTAAGCGTCCTGTGTGGTTGTAGCATCCATGTTACCAAGTTACATGAGTTCCACTTCTGTTAACATAGGTGACTCTCCACAACCTGCACAGGAGGGATTAGAAATTTGCTTTCTTCAAGACTGAACATTTCCTCATATTTTTGTGGGTTTTCTACCAGTGTGCGTTTCTTCCTTTCTCTTTTTCTTTCTTAAGATGACCGTTGACGTAGTAAACGGACAAGTGAGTTCCACTGTGGTCTCACACCTGTGTGGGACTATACTTTGTTCTCATTTGTTCTTTTCTCCCACCTGTTTTTTTATAGGGGAATTTTGGCAATTGCTTGGAGCATGGCAGATCCTGAATTGTTACTAAGCTGTGGAAAAGATGCTAAGATTCTGTGCTCTAACCCTAACACAGGAGAGGTAGGAGGAGGAATGCTTCTCAACCTTTCAGCACTCTTGATACTTATTTCTACCTGAGTAAGACATTTCCATATGGTTTTAAGCCCATGATTATAATTAAGACCATTGGAGGGGGGTCTGAGACATTACCCTGTCAGATCTCTGTCAGGAACATTAGCCAGGCTCATTTCCTTGTACTTTAAAATTAATCTTTCTCTGATTATTTTTATTATTAATATTTCTCTAGAACATAGATTCTAGCCACAACCTTTTAAAAATGATTCATTTTTATTTTAAGTGCATTGGTGTTTTGCCTGCATGCATGCCTGTGTGAAGGTATTGGATCCTGGAGTTACACAGACAGTTGTGAGCTTCCATGTCGGGCCTGGGAATTGAACCCATGTCCTCTGGAAGAGCAGCCGGTGCTCTCAGCTGCTGAGCCAGATCTCCAGACCTAGTTGCAGCCTTATACCATTGCCTTTCTCTATTGAAGTGTATTGTTTCAGGTGCTTTTGAAGTTATTTGGATGGAAATGTGAGTAGCTGGATTAGGAGTGTGCCTCAGAAGTCGTGCTTGTTTATCATGTGAAAGGCCTAGGCTTGATTTCCAGCACCATTAAAACAAAGTCTTCCAGCTGGCCAGGTGGCTCAGCAGTTGTCAGGTCTGGAAACCTGACTCTGATACCTGGAATGCACATGAACAGGATGCTGTGGCTACATGTGTAACCTTAGCACTCCTGCAGTGAGATTGGAAGCAGGAGAGCCGCCCGGAAGCTCCTGAACCAGCCCACTTGGATGTGCAGCATGGCAGAAACCACAGAGACTCTGCCTCCGCAAGGTGGAAGGAGAGAACCGAGTCCCAGAGTTGTCCTCCACGTGTGTACTGTAGCACATGCCCCCCGACAGTTACCCATAAAACACCCCCCACACACACACACACACACACGAATAAATGAAGAAACAAAAACTGTCTTAACAGGTTTGGTTCTTTGAGCTGTTGAGCATTGAACTTAGGGCCTCAAGTGCAACAATTCTGAAAACTTTATTTTAATTTCCTCTCTGTGTATATGTTTATGTATGTACACATGCAGGAGCACTTATGTATATATACACCTGGCTGCCAGAAAGTGATAGTGTGTCTTTGTCAGTTAGATCTCTAGCTGTTTTTTGAGACAGTCTCATTGACCTCCCTCAGTGACTGGCCAGCTAATGCCAGGGACCTTCCTGCCTCTGCTTCCCCAGCTGTGGGACTGTAGGCCAGTAGCAGACCTGACTTTTCTGTGCAGGGTGCAGGGCCTTGCGCTGCAGTCCTCATGTGTGTGTGGCACATACTTTACACATGGAGCAGCATTTCCCCGGCCTGGAATAGTGTTTGTAACGTTTTCCCACGGCCCTTTCCTTCTGTAGACAACTTAGAGGCAGGTTTTGTTAGATTCTTCAGCAATAAGAATGAGATAGACACGTTTTCTCTTGGCTAAAAGCCAGATTTGTCAGTGAGTTCTTTCTAAGAGTGGTTTAAAGTTTGGTCTTCAAATGACCTAAATATAGTTCTTTGGATCTTGCCAGGCAAAAACAGTTGAAAAGAGTAGCACTGGAATTTGATAAAATGTTCTGGCCTTTCCAGCTTGTCTACTGCTGCCATTTTAGGAAAAGAAATATTGACTAGCATTCCTGTTATTAGTGGACCATCCCAGGGCCTCTGTACTGTAAGAGGAATTTACCATTGTGGACCAATCTGGGACCACTGTACTGTAAGAGACACTTATCATTGTGGACCATCCAGGGACCACTGTACTGTAAGAGACACTTACCATTGGTTTTCTTGGCTAAAGACTCTTTTTTAAAGTAAATGTTCAACTGTACTTATTATCAGCATTACTTATTTTGGTTATGATCTGGCTGTACCTTTTTCTAACTTTTGCTTATTTATTTATGTTGGGCTAGGTATTATATGAACTCCCCACCAACACACAGTGGTGCTTCGATATCCAGTGGTGTCCTCGGAACCCTGCTGTCCTGTCAGCTGCTTCTTTTGATGGACGAATCAGTGTTTATTCTATCATGGGAGGGAGCATGGATGGGTTAAGGCAGAAACAAGTTGACAAGGTAATAGGCAGTATTAAGGCTTTTGATGATTACCACTGAGAAAAAGAACCATATTGTGTAATTATCTTTAGTGATTTTTACCAACGAGCAATGGTGCTTTAGTGGATAATTGTTATTAGACATTTTTTTGTATATGATTTGAAAAATTGCAACATAGTTTATGTAGGTTACTAACTCATACTTTTTTTAAAAACAGCTTTCATCGTCTTTTGGGAATCTTGATCCTTTTGGCACAGGACAGCCCCTTCCTCCATTACAAATTCCTCAGCAGACTGCTCAGCACAGTATAGTGCTGCCCCTGAAGAAGCCCCCCAAGTGGATCCGAAGGCCTGTTGGCGCTTCCTTCTCAGTAGGTGGAGTTTGTTTTTAGGGTTCCGTGTAACATATTAACTGAGGAATTGTGGGATAGCACTGTAGATGTAACCAACTGTCTTATTAAATAAGAAACACAGAGCCGATTCAGAGAAGAAAGCCAAGAGGTCAGAGCTAAGAGCCTCACCCTTCCTGATTCAGGGATCCTCTTCAGCCAAGAGAGCTCTCCTAAAGGGACCTACTTCCTGTGTGTATGTCTTTGCATAGTCTAGCTGTTCTGCCTTCTCATTGGTTGTAAACCCAAACATGTGACTGCCTCATCACTGCCTGTATGTACCGCCCTCCAGGTCCTTAAAAGCGTGCGCCACCGCCGCCACGCACTTGCTATGGCTCTAATAGCTCTGACCCCCAGGCAACTTTATTTATTAACATACAATTAAAATCACATTTCAGTACAAGTAAAATACCACCACATTTCCCCTTTTCTATTTTAATAAAAAGGAAAAAAAAGAAAAGGTTATAACTAACAGAAGAAAAACTATATACAAAAGTACAATAACTATATACAATATATACAAGTAATAAATGTCTAAACAATGTCTAGTCCATTTGTATTTGACAAATTCAGAGAAAATAATTTCATTATCTATCCTATTTTTTTTTTTTTTTTTTTTTTTTTTGGTTTTTCGAGACAGGGTTTCTCTGTGTAGCTTTGCGCCTTTCCTGGAACTCACTTGGTAGCCCAGGCTGGCCTTGAACTCACAGAGATCCGCCTGGCTCTGCCTCCCGAGTGCTGGGATTAAAGGCGTGCGCCACCACCGCCCGGCTTATCTATCCTATTTTGTTAAGTCCACAATGTATCTAATTCACTTTCTATCCTAATTAATCTTCAACTATAACTAACTAACCTTCAACTATAACTAACTAACCTTCACAGCACAAAGTGCATTTCATCCCGGGTGACTTGTGAGGACTGAAAAGGAGGACAGTTGGAGGCTGGAGTGAAGTGTGGGAGCCTGGGAGGGTGTGCCAGTGATCCCCATCCAGTTCTTCACCTTAGCAGGCTGGAGTCGGTTCCCTCGGGCGGGCGCGGCTTAGTGGCTGATGAGTTCACTCTTTCTGCACAGTTCGGAGGGAAGCTGGTGACCTTTGAGAACGTGAAAGTGCAGCCTCAGCAGGGAGCTGAGCAGCAGCAGCAGCGGCCGCAGCACGTGTTCATCAGTCAGGTGGTGACAGAGAAGGACTTCCTCAGCCGCTCAGAGCAGCTGCAGCAGGTCGTACAGTCCCAGGGCTTCATCAGTTACTGCCAGAGGAAGATTGATGCTTCTCAGACAGAGTTTGAGAAAAATGTGTGGTCCTTCTTGAAGGTAAAATTGAGCTTATTTCTAATTGTTGTTTGTGTGTGTGTGTGTCTACGTGCGTGTTCATTTTACAGTGAGCACATTTATCTGCTTAGCCGTCTCTCTGGCCCTAAAATGGTTTCATTTCATTATCGACAATTGTTCCTATTATAATTAAAGTCTGTCTTCCTTTTGAAGAAACATGTGAGATAGTATGATTTCAGGAATGCATGATGAAATTCAAGAAACCCCAGCTGGGCACAGTAACACACACCTGTAATGCCAGCACTCAGGAAGCTGAGACAGGAAGATCTCAAGTTCAATGCCAGCCTGGGCTATAGCAAGACCTTGTCTCAAAAAGCCAAGATGATCTCATAAAGAGAACACAGCCTAATCTCTTACTCCATTATAAGCTAAATAGTGTGAAGATACATTTAAGAGAGAGCGACATCATTCAACAGATCTTAAAAATTAGAACATGGAAGCTGCTGTAATAAAAACATAAAGAATTTAGTGTCTGTAGCCAGGCTGGTCAGTGAACGTGGTGAGAGGAATGGGAGAGGAGAGGGGAGACTAGAGGGGTTTCTCTTCTTGCTGCTACAGGAGAGTCAAAGGAAAAACAGCCTTGCAGCACACTGTCTTTCTTCATAGCGACTAAGAGTTTGGCTTTCACAGATATTTCTTGATGCTGAGTTTTCCATGAAGAAACAGTCTTGAATACGATAAGGTTAAACTCTGTGAATGTAGAAATTCCAGTTTGTTAGTCAGGGTAAAGTTCTGTTTCCATTGGAAACAGGGTCTCTCAGTCTGTAGTGCCGGCTCACCTGAACTGCTGCTGTCTGTTGTTGGGCAGGCAGCCCTCAGATCCACCTGTCTGCCTCTCTGCTGCTGCAGTTGAAGGTGTGTGCCTCCTTGCCCAGCTCAGGTGTGAGATTCAAAACAAGTTTGGGGACAGTGAGTACTGCATACACTGTCTTGCTTTCTCATAGAACCTTTGAACATGAATTACTTTGTATTTAACAAAATTAGACTTAAAAACAAGCCTCATTTATCCAGAATGATTAGTTGCTCAAATACTTACTTACTCTTAGAACATAGCTATTTTATCCATGCATGATGGTGCATTCCTGTAATCTCAGCAGTTGAGCAGTAGAGGGACTTAAAAGATTATCAATTGCTGTATAGAGTTTGAATTTGAGACCTGGGCTATGTGAGACCTAGTCTCAAACAAACAGAAAACTAGTTTTTAAAAAATGTTATTTATAAAGTCAGGTGGTGTAGCTAGAGTTTTCCTGCCTGGCCCACAGTCAGGACAAATCTCTCTCACCTGCCAGTCCCACAGTCTCTCAGACCCAACCAAGTAAACACAGAGACTTATATTGGTTGCAAACTGTATGGCTGTGGCAGGCTTCTTGCTAACTGTTCTTACAGCTTAAATTAATCCATTTCCATTAATCTATACCTTGCCACATGGCTCGTGGCTTACCGGCATCTTCACATGCTGTTTCTCATCATGGCAGCTGGCAGTGTCTCTCTGACTCAGCCTTCCACTTCCCAGCTTTATTCTCTTCCTTGTCCCGCCTACACTTCCTGCCTAGCCAATGGCCAATCAGTGTTTTATTTATTGACTAATCAGCAACACATTTGCCATACAGAACATCCCACAGCAAGGTGGTGGTGGCGCATGCCTTGAATTCCAGCACTTGGGAGGCAGAGGCAGGTGGATCTCTGAGTTTGAGGCCATTCTGGTTTTTGGAGCAAGTTCCAGGCCAACCAGAGCTCTATAATGAGACTCAAATAAAGCACTCCAGTGCAGGAGAGATGGCTCCATGGTTAAGAGCAGGTATTGTGTTTTAGACCTAAGTTGGGTCCCCAGCACCCATGACTCCAGCCGTAGGCACTGGATGCCCCTCTGACCTCTGCCAGCACTGGACTCACTGTGCACAAACCAGCTCCCAGCCTTATCCATGCTTGCATAGTTAAAACAGTTTCTAAAGTTACATAAATTCTTTTTGAACAGTGAATTTTCAGGATTTTATAGACTTTAGAGTTTTTAGTAATTTGATTTGGAATTTGGTCAATTCTTAGAAAAACTAGGTTTTAAATATAATCTTTGAGATTATGTCTCTTTTAAAAGGTGAACTTTGAGGAGGATTCTCGTGGGAAATACCTGGAGCTTCTTGGATACAGAAGAGAAGATCTGGGGAAGAAGGTAAGGTCCTGAGAAGATGAAATGACCGCCGTAAACAGATGTTTGTGTGCTGGGTGGGATATCTGTGTATAAAGTTCTAGACAGAGTCTCCAATCAGTCAACAAACGTTTAGTAAGAATTGGTGTTTGTCGGCCGGGCGGTGGTGGCGCACGCCTTTAATCCCAGCACTCGGGAGGCAGAGCCAGGCGGATCTCTGTGAGTTCGAGGCCAACTTGGGCTACCAGGTGAGTCCCAGGAAAGGCACAAAGCTACACAGAGAAACCCTGTCTCGAAAAACCAAAAAAAAAAAAAAGAATTGGTGTTTGTCACCCAAGTTTTCAGATGTGAAACTCCACTTTCTGCCTGGATGTAGAAGCTACTAGAACCACCTTTAGTTCAGCCTGGACTGTCAGGAATATTTTGGCCGTGACAGATAAGTCACACACACTGAGGTGTTTATTAAGGTGTGCCTTAATAGAGAGAGGAGAGCAGGGATTAGGTGTCTTCCCAACTGTACAATGTATGGGAAATCGAGCACTGTCAGGGCCACTGTCCACTGTATGGGAAGTCGAGCACTGTCGGGGCCACTGTCCACTGTGTGGGAAGTCGAGCACTGTCGGGGCCACTGCAATTTCTCACCCTTTAGCATGAAATTCTTTTCCTTTCGAGACAGGGTTTCTCTGTGTAACCCTGGCTGTCCTGGAACTCACTCTGTAGTCCAGGCTGGCCTCGAACTCATGGAGATCCACCTGCTTCTGCTTCCTGAGTGCTGGGATTAAAGGTATGTGCCATCACGACCCAGCTAGCATGAAATTCTTAAATGGCTTATTGTTGACCAGCTAACAGGTAGCTGAAACAGGATGGAATTTTCTTGAACCTAAGTAAACAAAGTCCAAGTAGTTTGCTTCATAGTTTAGCTTTTGAAAGAATTCCCTTTTTGAAAGAGAAACACACGCTATAGTTTTGTAGTCTTCTCAGAAAGGGTCTGAATTGTGTCGGTGTTGACATCAGAATCAGTAGCAGTAAAAACGGTAGAAACCTTGAGAACACTCCTATTCTCTGACCTTTCATCTCTGTTGGCGGTAACTAAAGTTTTTCTATAGAATTACGCAGCTGCCTAACTGGTGTGGGCTGCGTCTGGTGTCGTCTACATATGTGCTCCTCTGAGGGCAGCCACACTGCTGGTGTCTTTGCCTACTCCTTAAAGTGTTAGTATTTATTTGATTTCCTTATTAGCTGTAGCCCCTTGATGCTCTGATTTTTCTAAGTTTCCAGGAGATTAAAGTTTTACTTGTATGCCTGAAAGCAAAAAATTAGGAAATACAATCATCAAAATACTTCTAAAGCAATTTGTTCTAAAGTGAGTACCCGAGGACATCTTTTTAAAAAGTATTTGTAAGCCAGGTGTGGTGGTGCAGGCCTTTAACCCCAGCACTCAGAAGGCCGAGGCAGTAGATCTCCATGAGGTCCAGGCCATCCAGGGCTATATAGTAAGACCCAGTCTTAAAAACAAAATAAAACAATAAGAAAAAAATTAACAAAACAAAAATGATTTATAGTTACTTAAAACAACAAAGTACAAGGGAGCATGTTTAAGGTTGATTTTGTGATTAGACAGCAGAGCTAAAGATTATTGGAGCAATACAATTCCATGTAAATGAAACTAGAACCAGTAAGAACCAGTTGTGCACAGATGTTTTGCTCTTCCTAAACATATTGTCCCTGATAAGAACTTTTGTGGAGTTTGGCTGAGAACAGAGTAAAGCTAAACCTCGCTGTCCACCCAGATTAGAATTGCACTTAGTAGGTGGGTTGTTGTTTTCATTTCAGGTTGCTTTGGCCTTGAACAGAGTGGATGGATCCGATGTGGTAAGACCTCTAAAAATCACTGTCTTCCAAGAGTGTGGTTAGAGCTTGACAAGCAGTGTAATTTGAGCAGTTGATCTCGTTTGTCCTTCCTGGTTTAGACAATTCTAAGTATTTTAGTAAGTTCGTAATTCTCAACTTAAGTTTAGCTGGTAAAGCATGTCTTTTGGTATATTTGAACTTCATAGAAGGGAAAACGGAATCAATGCCTGCTCAGATAAGGTAAAGCGCCTGTATGTCACGTGACACTTGGTGACCAAAAGGGAAAGTGGTGGTAGTGATGGTTTCTGCTTTTCTTTTAATGTTGTTTCTGGAATAAATTTGTCCGGTTGCTTCTCATGATCAAGCTCTGGGTGTGGTTGGTTGGGTCTTTTGTCCCTCTTGTTACTAATAACCTTTTAATGCTACATTCTTCAACTTCCTCTGTGATTGTTTTATGTACCAAAGGCTCTTAAAGACCCTGACCAAGTAGCACAGAGTGATGGGGAGGAGAGTCCTGCTGCTGAACAGCAGCTCTTGGGAGAGGTACTTATTTTTTTCTCTTCTATTGGACAATTATGTGATAATTGTGTATCTCACTTGAAAATACGGACATTTTCTGACTACTTGTTGCCAATGATGTTTGACTGGATTGCTTTCTCAGGTGTGTTTAGGGAGATACTAACAGAAGTGTCTCTGCACGCTGGTTCATTGGCCCAGCTTCTTGATTGTATAGCTTAAAATGAGCAGGAGATGTGAGTTCTCCTTAATTGGGTCAGATGGTTGCCAGGATGCTAAACTGACAGAGAATTTACTTAGAAATGCAGATGCCTTGCATGTCAAGGGAATGCTTTTTTCTTGGCACATGAATTTGTATAGCCCTGTCAGTGATAGAGGCTTCCAAGTTGCTCCTGAACTGGAACAGAAGCAAAGAATAGTTTATAAAGCTAAGCTAATTGTGATGACTTACTCTTAGTATGTCCTTAGCTGTGCTTGGTAATTTCTGTAACTAATTGAAAAGAGACCTTGAATACAGAGTTGTATCATTAATTAATTTCTTTGTAACTCTCTCTATTTCTCCCCTCAACTAACAACTAATTCTATAGTTTGCTCTGCTTGCTTTCTGTTTTCATTTCATGTTAGAAAGTTAATCAAGTTCTTATTTATTATCTAACCTTTGACTTTACCATTGCCTTTTATGGTGGGGGAATAACTTGACTATGAGATGCTTATAAATATAATTCATGAATATATTGGGCTGCTATAAATTGATTATGAAGTATATTTTCTATCAAAATCAATCTCCTAGAATTTAAGAAAGAAATAGGGGACATTGTAAAATCTTGCTAAAATATTGCAAAGGTATTGGAGATACCTATGAAAAATTATAGATATCTACAAGTATGTTCATTTGTGTATGAGTAGATTAACTATGTATTATCAAATTAATGACTATTTGATCATGCACTCATGAATAATAGATGATAAAAATACTTAGCCAAACAGTAGTCATCATTGCATACTTTAAAGGTTTGAAACAAATTATGCATAAGGGGGTAAAATCTTCCCTTTTGTCTTGATGATACTATTTGCTTTTCAGATATAGTATCTTGTACATTCAAGGTTTTTTCATACATAAGAAATTAAGCATTTGGGGCCCTACTTATATCTCTGGGGTTCATAAGTAAAGGTTAGTTGTATAAAGAAAGCACATTTGAAAATGCTGAGTTAGAAAATGGGAAGATTGCATTGTTTGTATAGACCTGGGCATTGAGCCCAGGGCCTCATGCATCCCAGGTCTTGTGTATCTGTACCTTTAATATACATCTCCAGCCCTGAAAGCATTATTCTGTAACTTTGGTAAACAGATATAGTGAGGATGGGTGACTGATTTATTCCTCAGTGTGACTGATGTAAACTGACAGCACTCTTCTAAACTTTGAAATGCTAAAAGGGAAAAGGGAGTAGGGTTGGCCTCCTTCTGTAAGGGGCAGTTAATTAAGTTCTTTAGATGAGTCTGTTCTGTACTCTGCACAGAGTGTGAGGCATTCACATTCAAGTGTGTAGGCAGCATGGATGCCTGTGTGAACGTTTGATTTCATGTAGGATAACTTTGTTTTCATTTCAAAAGAAAAGCTTGGGGATGTCTGTAGAGTCTTTATAAGCTGATTGTCCCTAATATGAAAATATAAGAAGTTTTGGATTTCAGATCATTTTGTATAAACAGGCTTTTTCTTTTGGGCCACCAACCAGCTCCCAAATCATGACACGGAGACTTATTAGATGTGAATGCTTGACCTATCTTAGGCTCAGTTCTGGCTAGCTCTTTTACCTTAAATTAACCTGTTTCTCTTTAGCTCCCTTTTGTCTCAGGGCCTTTTACCTTTCTTTCCTTCTGTCTGTCCTCAGCTCTTTATTAGACCAATCAGGTGCCTTACACGGGCAGAGTGAAACAGATGCAACACATCTTTTCTTTTTCTTCTTTTTTTTTTGGTTTTTCAAGACAGGGTTTCTCTGTGTACCTTTGCACCTTTCCTGGAACTCACTTGGTAGCCCAGGCTGGCCTCAAACTCACGGAGATCTGCCTGGCTCTGCCTCCTGAGTGCTGGGATTAAAGGCGTGTGCCACCGCCGCCTGGCGCAACACATCTTTTCATCCCTAAAACAAATGCAGCATAAACAAATGTAGCACATCTTGCCCAGTTAAATAATATTCCACAACAATTTTGTATTAGATTTTGAATTGAATCACTCAGTGTGTAACTTTTGTAATAGGAGAGTGTGTGTGTGTGTGTGTGTGTGTATTCAACTATGTGCTGTTCCATATATAATTTAAAGGAAAATGAAATGTATACTTAAAACCATGTTTATCCGTGTGTGTGTGTGTGTGTGTGTGTGTGTGTGTGTGTGTGTGTGTGTGTGTGTTCAGAGACCAAACCTACTCTCAGGCATGTACTCTGTGACTGTGTCATTGGTCCAGGCTCTGCTTCACTTCTGTACTGAGGACACCAAGTGATTTGTTTTTGTGATTCAACTTGTACAAAAAGACTTTATACCAAACCTATAAACACTATCATTAAAAACACATATATTTTGCGTCTTTGAAGCCACTCAGAGTTGGGAGTCTGAGAAAATGTTCCTTACTTTTGACAGCAAATTTTCAGGTCTCTGACGAGTGTGTACACTTGATTTGGTGTTCAAAGATGACAGGGTTTTATTTATGTCTCATGGGAATTAATGCCTTAGGAAGTCCAAGATTCTAGTCTACACTTGAATTGGGAACATTTTGAAACAGCTTGGTGTATCATCTTCTCAGTAGATGAATAATCACATATAATTTTTGGCAGTAAATCATTTTAGTTTCACTTTAGCTAAATTGTGGCTTTTTCATCTCTTTAGCAAATTAAAGAGGAGAAACAGGAGTCTGATTTTCTGCCCTCAGCTGGAGGGACATTTAACATCTCCGTCAGTGGGGGTAAGTGCTGTTGGCTTTAACTGAAATCTTTCTTAGTCGTAAGCAAGTTGTCTGTCTTCAAGCTTAATGAGAGAGAGAGGGAAAGAACAGTGCACTGTTGTTTTTGAAACAGTTCTCTGTTTAGATGTCGAACTCACAATCCTCCTGTCTCAGCCTCCTAGACCTGGGATTTCAGTTATGTACCAGTAGTCATAACTAGAAATGTGTTGTCACGGTGGGCAGGGTTAAGCAAGAACTTGGTCATCATTTATAGTATTACCAGTGTCTTGAAAAGGGTAATGAGTTCTGACACACCTAAGTGATCTTTATTAATACAAAAAAAAAAAGTTACTATATATACATCCTGGTCTATTTCCATAACTTTCATAAATAGTGACAGTTTATTTTACAAATTTAACCTGCTAGTAATGATAAATTAGCATTGTGTTCTCCATTTTTCTGTGTATAAAAACTGGTGTGCATAGTTTTCTTGTAATTGTTATCAGTAACAAACTCTAATTAACTTGGATGTTGTGTTTCCTTCTTGCAGATATTGATGGTTTAATTACTCGGGCTTTGCTGACGGGCAATTTTGAGAGTGCAGTTGACCTTTGTTTACATGATAACCGAATGGCTGATGCTATTATATTAGCCATAGCAGGTGGACAAGAACTCTTGGCTCAAACACAAAAAAAATACTTTGCAAAATCTCAAAGCAAAATTACCAGGGTATGTTATTTTTCAAAATAAATAGCACAGAAACACATACACTCGTATATACTTTAAAATTTTTTATGTTAGCCAGGTGTGGTGGCACAGACCTTTAATCACAGCACCTGGGAGGCAGAGGCAGGTAGATCTCTGAGATTGAGGACAGCCAGAACTACACAAAGAAACTCTGTCTTCAAACTGCCTCCTCCCTTCCCCCCAAAAATTATTTTTCAGTGGGAGTCTTGCTACATAGCCCAGGCTTTCTCTGAATCTTTCATCCTTCTGCCTTAGGCTCCTGGGTATTAGAATTATAGACTTTTATTATTCTGATTATGGAGATAGTATCCTATTGTTATTATGGATAATTGAGATACAGAAAACAGGAAAGAATTAAGTTCTTTGATGCAGAAATGGTTGTTTATGTTTTGATGTGATAAAATTCCAGTGTTTTGATTCCCTTGCAGAGATTTAGTATAGAAAATCTGAAGGTAAAAATTTTAGTTGTCTCTTAACCTTGTTAAGAAGTTAGTGCCCGTTTTTCTACACCTTTATGTAGAGAGTCATGATCCCATGTGGATGCACGTGTCGTTCTCTTTGTAGACACTGTCACAGTGTCAGCTTCTCTTGCGTTGTTAAGGACTGTTAGATTTTTATCTAATATCTTGTGCACTATTTTATGACCAGGATGTATTATGTCACTATTTAGGCTTGTTTGGGCTCGTTTTAATGTTTTCCTCATATAGGCAAACAACATTGTTTAATATAGTGATTAAAACCTTTGTTTTGCCTAAATATATGAACAGAGTTTTGATTATTCAGTTACTAGAATTTCTGGCATAGAGGGTCTGAACATTTTTAAGTTTAGTGTTATTTTCCATATCTTAAAAAAATAGTTTTGGAAATTTTTTGTTTTTGTTTTTTGAGATACGGTCTCTCTATGATATCAGCCTTAGCTGTCCTGGAACATGCTCTGTAGACCAGGCTGGCCTTGAACGCAGAGATCCTCCTGCCTCTGCCTCCCAAGTGCTGGGATTAAAGGCGTGGGCAACCATGCCTGGCCTGGAAATTATTTTTCATGAAATTATCTCAATATTGAATCCTAGTGGTGGCTGTCCCCACTTTCCAAGCTTTGCCTCGTGCGTCTCTGTCTGTCACACTGGCTGCCTTTCACTTCCTCCTTCCATACTCTTCTTCCTAAGCCTTGAGTGCACCCATGTACCGTGGAGTGTTTGTGTGAGGTCAAACAACTGCCTGGATTAGGTCATCAGCCTCGACCCTCAGGCTTGCCAGCCCGCACTCTACCTGCTTTGCCGTCTCCCTGGCCCTAGAGTGTTCTTTAACCTGCTTCATAAAGGTCCTTCCTGCTTGTCCTTCAAATCAAGTCCCTCAGGACCCCGTGGCCGGCAGCTTTTCCTGAACCATTGGACCCAGGAGCATCTTCCTGTTACAATGTTCTGCTAGTATCCTGTGCTTTTCCCTTGAAGCCCTTTGTAAAATACGTTGATGCAATTTTCTTTTTGAAGGAAAATAGCATCTGTTATTTGGTTCAAGAATGTTTTTCACTTTGCTGCTGTGTGATTTGTCATGAACGCTGTAAATCGTTGTTTTGAAAGATAAGGTTGCTAGATGGGGGCTCGAGGGCAGTGACCTGTCTCTCTGGGTTAGGTCCCAGCCCTGCAGACACGGGAAGATTAGACAGTCGGTCTCCCGGGGTAGTAAAGACTTCCTGTCGCTTCCTTTTCCAAGCTCATCACTGCAGTGGTGATGAAGAACTGGAAGGAGATTGTTGAGTCCTGTGATCTTAAAAACTGGAGAGAGGCCTTAGCTGCAGTGTTGACTTATGCCAAGCCGGACGAATTCTCAGCCCTGTGTGGTAAGAAGTAAGCCCCATGTGGAACTGTCTGTGTGTGTCTAATCTCAAGTAAGAATTACAAAATATGAAGGTGGGCTGTGCCCAATGTTAGCTGATTCTGAGTAAGAAGAGAGAGACAGACGAAAGAAGGGAGAGCAAATATAAAATATGTCATTTAAAAATAGTCTGTTCAGTGATAGTGGTTTCGGATAGACCAGGCCTCTGCTACTTACAAGCTGTGTGAGCCAGAAAAGACCATTTTCTAAGCCTCGTTTTATTCATCTTTAATTGGCACATATGCAGTTCGCAATAAATGTTAGGGGATCAATTAGTAATGGTAACGGGTAAAACTTACCATTACAGCCAGGGCTAACCTCATGGCTTGGGAAACACAGAAGCTTACTTGCTGGCGTGGATATTCACTATATTTTTCTGGATTTTTGTATTTGTAGTACATTTGTAGTGTATTTAGCCAACACTGACAATGTATTCTATATATGCCAGCAGAGTTTTATGTTCAAATTTTCCCACTATTGTTCTTTTCTAATGTACTTGATGGAGAGCAGTTCTGTAGTTTAGAGACTCTTATACGGTACGTGATATGCTATCCGCCTCCATTCATTAACAACTAAATAGTCACTGAACATTTAGAGTGATTGTGTTTCTTTCTGGTTCTCACTGGCTGTAAAACTGAGTCCCGGCCTCTGAAATGCCATTGAGCTGCTCCAGCCTCAGGCAGAGCAGAGTGAGGGGGATGCCGTCTTACCTTGTTCTCCTTTCGATTCACAGATCTTTTGGGAGCCAGGCTCGAAAGTGAAGGGGACAGCCTCCTGCAGACTCAGGCGTGCCTCTGCTATATTTGTGCGGGGAATGTGGAGAAGTTAGTTGCTTGTTGGACCAAAGCTCAAGATGGCAGCAGCCCCCTGTCTCTGCAGGTTGGTGTTCTGACACTCAGGGTGTCTTAGTGTCTTCCCACCTCCCTTCAGGTGAAGTTAGAAACACTTCCGTCCTGGAATCTTGTTGCCTTCGTCATCTTAGGAGTTCTTTGGCTGGACCATCGTGTGTGTTTATTGTTGTCTTTAAAGAAGCCAGGTGGGAGATGATGGGCAGTCAGGTCGGGAGGCGTTCTGCACTCACTGGGCCGGTAGGTAGCAGAGCATTGACAGTAGTAGCCCAGAGTTTAGCTGCTTTCTCTCAAGCTCCTCACTCTGCCAGACAGCAGCAGAGTGTGGGCTGGAGAAGAGGAGGCATCCCCACACCGAGGAGAATATTTACCATCAGTTCCTGTGTACAAGACACAGGAACTCAGGTTAGAATCACTATACAAGCTAGAAAGCCGGACTGTGGGGACCGTAGAACTTCAGCTTTCCCCAGTCTTCAGATACTTCAATATAGTGGTTAGTTTTCTCTTCGGAAAAACAATTTATCCATAGAGTCATTGTTTTAAAGATCATTCTTTTGAGACTAAAAGTCAGGTCTTAAAAAAAAAAAAGCAAGCTTTTCCTTTCAAGTGCTTCTGAGAAGAAGACATGTTTCCTCTTGTGGATTGGTGGCTTCCACAGGGCAGCCAGGGAGGGTCTCCACACACTCCCTCCTGCTCCCATCACAAGGCCTGCTCCCCAGGATCAGCCCACAGCTTTGCCACATTGTGTATTAGTCACTTCTGCATTACTGTACTGAAATGGCTGGGTGGATTAACTTTTACAGAAAAAGGGTTTTATTTGGGGTCATGGTTTGAAGGTTCTAAGGTTGGGTGGGTTCTGGCAAGGGCAACATATTTTGATAGGAGCACATGGCTGAGCCACAGAGAGCAGATGAGCAACAGAAGGTGACCTAGGCACACAGCCCCCTTAAGGGATGCCCCTAGTGACCTAAGGCCCCACTTCTTAAAGGTTCTACCACCCCTCAGTAGTGCCAGCCTTTGGGGGAACATTTAACTCAAGCAAGTGGTGAGCCCCTGTGGAGGTCATGTGCTTCTGTCATGAGTCTGTGTGGTAGTGTGTTGCTGCAGGAACCACGGTGGGTTGTGTTTGCGCATAACTCCTCTTCTGCTTGCTGGGTATCTATCTGCCCATCACTTTCAGTTTGGATACTTGTCCGTTTGAGATCAGTGGACAAATGTCTGGCAGGTTGAGGATGCTTAGAAAATAATAATCTATGCTGTCCATGGGGAGCAGGCTTCCTCCTCCTCTTCCTCCTAACTGTGTGCTGTCCATGGGGAGCAGGCTTCCTCCTCACTGGTTGCCATCCAGATGGTACTCAGTTCTCCCATGGTTTTCAAATAGGGATGAGGGTAGGTGCTGGACTTTTGGTGGGTTTGGAAATCATAGTGACTGTTTCTCTCCTGCTTCTTTCATACACACATGTTGGGATCTCTGATTGTCTCCTTCTCCCTTATTTTATCATTTAGGATCTGATTGAGAAAGTTGTCATCCTCCGAAAAGCTGTACAGCTCACCCAAGCCATGGACACGAATACTGTCGGTGCTCTTTTGGCTGAGAAGATGAGTCAGTATGCCAGTTTGTTGGCCGCCCAGGGTAGCATTGCCGCAGCCTTGGCCTTTCTTCCTGACAACACCAACCAGGTAATTAAGCCGACAGTTCATCTTGGTTCGGTTTGGTTTGGTTTAGTTTTTCAAGATAGGGCCCTGGCTATCCTGCAACTCACTTTAAACCAGACTGGCCTCAAATTCAGAGATGTCCTGCCTCTTCCTCTGTACTTCTGGGATTGTGCCACCATGCCTGGCTCTTTCTTTTCTTTCTTTCTTTCTCTCTTCTTCCTTTCTTTTTTTTTCTTTTTTCTTTTTTTTTTTAAGAATCTTATATACATAGTCAATATATATGGTTAGTTTTTTTAAATCTATGTATTTGTGAATCTGTATGAGGTCCAGGTTTGAATTTAATCCCTTTCTCTTTTAATTATTTTAAGAATGTCTCTTAATCTGATGGATCCTTTTTCCATCACTAGTTGCAGTAGTTGATTCTCTTTGGAGAACTTTCTTTCAATCATGTTGTTTAAAGTAGCCCTGTGATTTGGGAGCACTGTTATTGTGTCATAATACAACCAAAGAACAGCAATGATATGACACTGAACGGGTGTCCTAACCAAGAAGCAGCCATAGTTCAAAGCCCTGCCTCAGTGAAGTTACAAGTTGCACTGTGTCTCAGTCTCAGAGACCGGGTCTGACTCACAGGTACAATATAGACGATGCAGTAGAAACTCAACATAGGAATTTCGGAGGGAGTCTCTTAAATGATCAGATTCCTTTAAGAAACCATCATGCTATCATACAGCTGGGTGAATTAACAGTTCTGTTTTCTTCCATTGCTTCCCACAGCCAAATATTGTGCAGCTTCGTGACAGACTCTGCAGAGCACAAGGGAAGCCCGTGCCAGGACAGGAGTCATCTAAAAGTCCTTATGAGAGGCAGCCGCTGGCCAAGGGTAGACCTGGACCAAGTGCTGGCCACCCGCAGATGCCCAGAGTTCAGACTCAGCAATATTATCCCCATGTGAGTGATATGGTCCAGATGATGTGGGAACCTGTGCGTGCGTCTTTCCAGATATGCTTGGTAAAAGACACAGTGAAGCCAGACAGGGCCTATCGTGTCAGAGTCACACTTCCTGTGCACTTGAGACTCGTGTTTATGACCTGCTTCTCAAAATCACCTCTCTCATGCAGTTGTTGTCGGTTTGGTTGAAATTAGCTTTACTGTCCCTAGAAAGAGTGGCCAGTCCTCCCTTACATATGTCCATCTGCTCTCTGAATTTCTACTGAATTTGTTTAAGCAAGTATGTAGGTAAAGTAGTAGAATGAATAACCCGCTCAGTGATCTGGTGACTTTTCAGACGGTCGTTTTTGACACTTCTTTTGAGTCACTGATGTAGGTGTGCTCTGTCCTCTGTATCCACACAGTCAAGAGTGTCGGAAAGACACATTTGTGTGGACCAACTTACACATTGCAGAGAACTGACTGAAGGTGTTGTCGAGTGTGGACAGGATTACTCACTTTATCTAGTCTCATGTTTGTGGCATAAAATGTGATTATACTGTTTTTACTGTTTCATAAAGAAACTGTACTTACAGACCAACAGATAGTCTGTCTTTCTTTCTTTCTCTCTTTGATAGGGTCTCACTATGCAGCTCTGGCCAGCCTGGAACTTACTGAGTGTATCAGGCTGGCCTTGAACTTACAAAGATCTGCCTGCCTCTGCCTCCAGAGTGTAGGGGTTAAAAGTATATGCCACCTCACCCTGCCCTACCTTCATATTCTTAAATGGAAGATACTTTTTTAAAATATATATAAATTATAAATAGTCTTGATTGATAGCAAAGTTGGCATTTCAGATAGAACAAATTGGTGATAGGGTCAATCATTTTTTCATTATAGGAAAGGTAAATCTAAAATCCTGAGGTCTAGATCTAGTTCATGCCTTTTTTTGACTTTGAATCAGTCCTTAATCAAAACTGATTAAGAACAGAACATAATCACATTATATTTGAATATAGCTTTACTATCTAGAATACTGTGTTTTCTAATTTTTTATTCATTTGGCAAATAATTATTGCAACTCTTCTGTGAATGCCTGGCATATTCTTGCTGTAGGGATTATCTTGGTAAACAAAATATATAATTTCTCTACCCTCTGGACATTGTACTTATAAAGCCTGTGATGTAAATGGGGATACAATGTTGGCCAAGAAATCGGATGTCACATGACCTAGCAGAGTTCAAGGCACAGAAATGTCATTTCTCAGCATTGCATGGCTGCTTGAAGGCTAAACCAGGATTAGAATTTTCAGTCACCTTGTGTTTGGACTAAGCTGTTTCTAATAAAGCAAGACTTACTCTACACTGGGAGAAAAGAAGCATTAGTTACTCTTTCTTTCTTTGGGTTTATCTTTCTGAGAAACAGTAAAGGCATGTGAAGACTGTGGACCTTTTGTGGGTATGCTGGTGCACCCCTTTAATCCTTGCACGTACTTGGGAGGCAGATGCAGATGGATCTCTGAGTTGGAGACCATTCTGGTGTCCATAGCAAATGCAGGCCAACCAGAGGTATATATCGAGATCCAGTCTCAAAATAAAACCGCACAACCCCCAACAAAATCACAAAATAATCTGCTTTGCTTTTTACCAATCTTATATTTTAAGAAAAACAAGTAAGTTCAGTCAAATAAAACAAGGATTTTCTTGCTGCATGGGTGAGGACAGTGGTGGAGTTTTAAAATAGTTTTGCAGGCAGGAAAGAGGAAGGAAGGGAAGCTGGATTAGTAGCAGTCTGTCTCCTTATAACCAGCACAGCTTTGCTTTGCTTTATTTTCTATGTGTGTGTACTGGAGTTTCTGTAAAGATTTGTAACCAAAAAGGATTTTGCTGGCTTAAAAAGTCTTAACTCCATTACCAGTGAGCTGTGTGGACCTTAACAGTCTTAAGTAAAAGCAGGGGCTAGATGAGTCATCTTGAATATCCAGCTTGAGTATGCTTTGATTATGTGATTTTGAATCTTCAGACAGAAGGAAGTATACAATTCTTGTGAAATGGCCTAATGGAGCATGTTGCAAATCACTAGTAGCATGGAAAAGATTTTACTTATCCCAGAGTAGCTTCTTTCTCTACCTAAAGGACCTTTCTTCCTTACTTACTCTTTTTATTATTTGCTTATTTATTTTTATGTGTTATGGGTGTTTTGCCTGCATGTACACCAGATCCCCTGGGACTGGAGTTACAGACAGTTGTTGGGAATCGAGCCTGGTCCTCTCTCAACAACTGAGCCATCTCTCAGCCGCCAGCCCCTCCTCATATACTCTTGAATGGGCTTGTTCTTGTGCTTTGGTGGAGGTTTTCATGCTGAGCCCTTCCTGCCTCCCTCCTGCTGCTGTGCTGGTTTCCTTTAGAGCCATCTGGCCCTGGAAGCAGTCGCCCACCCGCTTACTACATGTACTCTTACTGCTTTTACTTCTTGCTACTAAGACCTTTTGAGTTGTTTTTTCTTTTAACGTTTTTTTACTTTTTATTTTCTGTGATTGGTATTTCTTTGTTCAATTCAGGTTAGAGTTGCCCCTACTGTCACTACCTGGAGTAACAAAACTCCTACTGCCCTTCCCAGCCAAGCACCTGCAGCCTCTCCCTCTGACACACAGGTATAGCCTTCCTTATTCCTCCTTGAGCAGGATCTGCTCGCGTCAATATATATAACTACTACCTGATTATATATGTGATTATCTAGTCTCTGCCCTGCTTCCTCCTTCTCTCTGGTCTTTCCTCTGCGTCCATCTGCCTGCTCATTGCATTTTATTGCCTATGGCATGCAAGTGGCAATTTTTAGGACAATTAATTTATTTTCTTATCCTTTCTCTTCTTTTGCAGTTCTAAATTTCTTGAGCTAGAAAAATCTCAACCAAGGTTCAAATAACAGTTTAAATTGAATTTTACTGAAGCTGTTTCTCTTTGTTCTTTTTTGTAAGCATTTCAGAAATCAAAAACCAGAAGTCCCCTTTATGATACTTATCTCCGGAGTCTGGAGTAGTAAACGGAAGTTAGTAGAGATGAAAGCTCTGGTGCCGTACCATAGTGTTAGCACATGACCACAGTGTTATTGACCCTGTTGTGGGTCTGTTAGCGTTTGCCATTCAGTGCAGTTACTTTGGACCTTTAAATCACTCAGAATGTGTCGCCTAGAAAAATGGGGGTGTTCTCAGGAAGATAGTATAGACAAAATGCAACTTTCTTACATAGTAGCTTACAAAAAAATAAACACCAATTCCATTTCAGAGGTTACAAGGCCATGATGATGTTCTTGGTCCCAAATATAATCTTCCTCTTTATTCTATTCTCATTTCCTAGGGAGAAAACCCTCCACCTCCAGGTTTCATAATGCATGGCAATGTTAATCCAAACCCTGCTGCTCCACTGCCTACATCTCCAGGTCATATGCACAGCCAGCTACCACCTTATCCACAGCCACAGCGTAAGTAATGGATCCTTGGAGTCTTCACAGTGGCCTGCCCTCCCTCAGCTACTTAGCAGCAACAAAGCCATGGTCAAATCAGCTTTGACAGATAAAATTGGGGGGTGGGGGAGGGTGCTAGGATGTAGCTCAGTGCTAGAGTACTTGCAGTGTTCAGTCTCCAGTGCCAGGGAGAGGGCAAGGAGCAGACAGAGAATCCAGAGTCAGTGCTAGGAAGCAGCTTTTGTTTCATCCTGTTGAGAACAGTGCTCCGTTCCTGAGTCGTGCATAGATAAATAGTGTGTCTGGTTTCGGAATAGAGAAACAGAGCTGTAGAAATTGTCAGTATATATTGCTTTTCTTCAGATAACATGACACAAACCACAGTTGTGAGGAGTTGGTTCATGGAACATTTGTTGCTGTTGTTTTTCCATTTTATTGTTATTGTTGACTTTATTTAGTGTCGACTTTTAAAGAATAAATTTAGGTTCAGAGCAAAATTGAGCAGAAAGTGCAGAGCACCTGCGTGTGCTCACTTGCACATACTCTTTGCACCCTGCTCCACGCTGGTATGTTTTGCAGCAGTGAACAAATGACGCTGTTCTAGCATGTCAAATCCCATAGTTTATGTGAGTGTCCACTCTTGGTTTTGTATGTTCTGTGGACCTTGACAGAGAGCAGCTACGCTGAAAAAATAAAAATACAACCAGATGTGGTGGTGGGTGCCTTCAATCCCAGTACTCAGGTGGCAGAGGCAGGCAAATCTCAGTTTGAGGCCAGCCTGGTCTACATAGTTCCAGGACAGCCAGGGCTGTGTAGAGAGACCTTATCGCAAAAGAAAAACAACCCCCCCCCCAAAAAAAACTACTGTTTTATAACTAAGAATAAAGAACCTAAATAAAAACTGTAAGGGTAAAATAATTATTAAACAACTATTAAAAATTAAGAATAAAGGGCCTAAATAATATCAGGGGACAGTTGTAAGATTAAACAACAGTACAAACGGAGATGCCCCACCTAAGAACTGATGCTAACAAGGGCCTTCTGGCCTGCAGGGTTCTTCACAGGACGCCTTTTCTATGCAGTGCTCAGCAGAGCTGTTTGTGGGTGACAGGTGGAGGGGGGGCACACTGAAGATGCCCCTCCCTTCCCTGCTCATACAGAATGTGGCGCTGTTGGGATCTCCCAGGGTGGGTTCGGGTTGAAAGTTGAAGTTGTTGAAACTATAGGGTTTTGAAGAAAAGGACATGCTCTGGGTGCAGAAGTCCTGCATGGCTCCACCTGGTGGTTGCTAGCTGTCTCTGCAGTCTCCACAGGAAGTCTCAGAAGACTTCATCACCTGCAGCAGTATTCTAGGGATGGTGGTTTTCCTGTTAATGTTTTTCTTCTTGAGGTGCTGGAGATGGAAGCCAGGGCTTTTCCCATGCTAGGCAAGTGCTCTGTCACCGAGCTGCATCCCCAGTCCTCGGTGTTAGGTTTGGGTCTTACTGTTTTAACAGTAATGATTAAAGTCATCTCTCTAGGATGAGATTACTTTTTTTCCCTACTTCTGTCTGAATAAACATGTAACTAATTAAAATCTCTGTTTCTTCCCCTGATGTAGCTTACCAGCCAGCCCAGCAGTATTCCTTCGGAACAGGGGGGTCAGCAGCTTACCGACTTCAGCAGCCTGCTGCTCCTCCTGCTTCTAACGCTTACCCTAACACCCCGTACATATCCCCTGCCGCTTCCTATTCTGGGCAGCCTCAGATGTACCCAGCACAGCAAGCCTCCTCACCTACCTCCAACTCTGCTGCTTCTTTCCCCCCTCCCCCTTCCTCTGGAGCATCCTTCCAGCATGGCGGACCAGGAGCTCCTCCATCATCTTCAGCTTATGCACTGCCTCCTGGAACAACAGGTACACCGCCTGCTGCCAGTGAGCTGCCTGCGTCCCAAAGAACAGGTCTGCGCTTGGAAGGGATTGCTTGGGCCTCCTGGTTGATGAGCAGAAGGGTGGGTGGAGGGGCATTCTTTGCAAGTGTCTGTGAACTGAGTAATGTGAGGTACTGCTTGAGGTTTATAACAAATTCTAAAACTGTGAGTGTGAGCCTCCCATAATGAACATCAGCTGCTAACCGAGGCAAACCTTAGTCCAGAGCTTCCAAATGCTAAGAGTGTGTAACCTGCTGCTGACTTACTTTGAAAGGTAGAAAGTTAGTTGACAAGACAAATGGTAGCTAAAATCAGATTTAGTTGATACCGTTATGTGAAATGCAGAACTTGAATTTTTGTGGGGGACAGGGGCATCCTGGATTGAACTTAGGCCTCACATGTGCTAGCTAAGTGATCTACCACTAAGCGGTCCTTCATTAGTCCTTCATTTCTTTACTTGAGCTGAAGTGTGCTCAGTGTTCTTAAAATGTTCTTGATTTTAAAACTGCCCTGGGGGCGTGCAGACTGACTCAGTGGGTGAAGTGTTCACTTGCTACAAGCCTGACAGTCAGTTTGATCCCAGCGGGACCCGTGAGGGAGAATAGAAGGACAGAAGTGACTCCTGGAGGTTGTCCTCTGCCCTCCACATACACAAATAAAGAAAACCCTGAAGTGAGGCCTCTGTCCACGTCAGCAATTGAGTTTTCTTTTCCGATTATAACGGATGTTCAGACTAGTGGGGCAAAAGCTTCAAGTGAGACTTGGTCAGCCCCTAATCCTGAAGCTGTTCTGGAGAGTCTGTTCTAGAGTTGGCTGGTTTTAATGCTAGCTATAACTCAGATTGATAAAAGTTTATCCTAGGTGTGTGGTAGAAACATTCTTTTCAAATAAATACAACAATAAATGTGGATAAGAAACATTTTTTAAATATTACTGCTTCTAAAGTCTTATATGTAATGGGTCTTAGAATTATAAACACACCTCTTTTCCCTTCTCTAATATGTAATATTGACATCCAGAGAACGAAAATTACACACTCTCGGGATTTTAGACACTTAGTTGTCTTCCCTTTATCTGTGGGTGCTCAGTATCACCTACTACCACCTACTACCAGCCCATGTGTGATAGAACAGTTTAGTAGTTAAGAGTAATAGGAGATTAGCAGTAACTCCAAACCAGACAGCAAACTGCCATAGCTTGTCAGCGTCAGTACTTTGTGCGCTCTGGGGCCAGTGTTGAGTGAGGGAAGGGATATGTAGGCGTGAACACTGGAGGTGCTCTACACTGTAGGTGCTCTACACTAGGTGCTCTGCACTGGAGGTGCTCTGCACTGGAGGTGCTCTACACTAGGTGCTCTGCACTGGAGGTGCTCTACACTAGGTGCTCTGCACTGGAGGTGCTCTACACTAGGTGCTCTGCACTAGGTGCTCTGCACTGGAGGTGCTCTGCACTGGAGGTGCTCTACACTAGGTGCTCTGCACTGGAGGTGCTCTGCACTAGGTGCTCTGCACTGGAGGTGCTCTACACTAGGTGCTCTGCACTGGAGGTGCTCTGCACTAGGTGCTCTGCACTGGAGGTGCTCTACACTAGGTGCTCTGCACTGGAGGTGCTCTGCACTGTAGGTGCTCCACACTAGGTGCTCTGCACTGGAGGTGCTCTACACTAGGTGCTCTGCACTAGGTGCTCTGCTGACTGAAAGGGCAGCCCACTGACTAGGAGGTGGGTGCATAGACAGCGTGGACATGCCAGACAAAGGACAGCTTGCACCCTTCTGTCTCGAAGTGATGTAAGACAGCTGAACAGCATCAGATGGTATCAGGCTGCTCAGTGATGCATGATTTTAAAGCTTTCATTGTTTATTTTACAAATACTGCTTACAAATTCTTAATATTCCATTTAATAAATTTGGACTGAAATTGACTGTGGAAAACAAAACTACATATAAGGGAAGCCAGCCACACACATTTTAGTAATACGCTGCAGACACATTAGTAGTTTGATCGTTTAGAAATGAGTGCCAGCTCATAGAGTTCCAAAAATGCCCTGTAAGCCTAGATTAGCAACCGTTCAGAGTAGCTGGCTATGATTCTTAATTAAAAGGTAGGTGGGTTCAAGAAAATCCCTCTAAAAAGTGGTACAGGAAGTAGAAGGGAAATTCACATTTATTAAATGTCTTGGACATGTTCTAGCATTCGCTGTATGTTTTGTGTTTAGGTCCTCACACACCCAAGAAACAGAAATTCTTTGTCTTGTTAAATTGTAGATGAGGAGACTAGAGCTCCCTGGGAGTTGTGAGCAGTCTCAGGAGTGTGCGCATTGGTTTCTGAGTTCGAGATTAGTCTCAATAGGGTGCGCCCGGGTCTGTGTCTTCACAGCCTGTGTCAGAGTTCTGATGTTAGTGATAGATGCTTCCCAGTGGAATTACAGAAATTCCCCACACCACTGCTGGGGCATTTGTCACTTTATAATGGGAAATAAATATTTGCACAGAATTGGTTTCCTCCTTGAGCAAAAGTGCATTTTGCCATGGGGTTATGGGCGCTGTACAGTTGTTCTAATCTGGCTGAGAGACAGAATGACTAATGGAAGAAGAGCCGGACTAACATCCCTGGTACTCAGCATGCGCTGGGTATGCCCTGCTGCCTGTTAACCCCCACATATTAACCTGCCTTTACTTCTTTGTACAGTACTTCACCATATTTTCATTGTGGATTTCCTAAAGGTTTTGTTGATGTTATGTAATTGTGACTGAAATTTTGTCATACTGTAATGTGTCTTGGATCGTGGGTTTGTTCAGGATTTAGAAATTCCAGTTGGCCAGTGGATAAAATTCCTGTTAGATCCTGCAGAGTCAAGCTTTCTGTTAATATATGAGAGTGTGTGCCATAGGCTCAGAGAAATGGATGTTGTTATTCAGGCTGTTCTTAATGAGAGCCTGTTTAATCTGTAATTGGAATTATCTCAGAAGGAAATGGGCAGAAGACAACAGTATATTTCTAGGGAATAGAATTCCTGTTATATGCTAGAAAATAAGATTTCTGTGTCAAGTTTTGTGTCAAGTTTTGAAGAGCCTTATGTACTAGGATAGGAGTTTATAGTTCATACAGTAAGAAAATAATAGTCTAGTGAGAGATTTTGAACTGCTAAGTGGTACTTCAGGGTCAGTAACCTGGAGCCGTCCTTGCAGGAGAGATTGTGGACAGATTAGCAGAGTTAGAGGCAAGACAAACGCCCGCCCGCCCACCCGCCCTGTGGTGAAGTGAGGGCAGTGTAGGTCTGAGAATGTGGCTTCCTCAGAGAAAACACTTTGAAAACTGTGAAGGCTTTAGAATTTTACTCAAAAATTATTTTATGATAAATGGCCTATAAGCTGTGATGAAGCTGTTTTTGGGTGGACATTACTGTTTTTGTTCAAAATGGAGTCATGTACTCGATGTTGCTTATTTTCATGGGACTTTCCTTAGTCCAGTCATAGTCCTTGATTTAGTTAGTCCTTCACATGAAGGAGAGGCACAGGAGAGACATCCTTTTCTCTGAGTGCTTTTATTTTTATTTTGAACAATGGTTTCAAGGATTCTTTATCTTTCTCATTGTAAACAGTCAATCTTGTGACCCCCTTTAAAATGTCATGCTGGGCTTTATAGAGAAAGGGAGTCGTTCTGTAGAGTCGATCTGTAGAGTCGAGTCGTTCTGGAGAGTCGTTCTGGAGAGTCGTTCTGTCGAGTTCGGTAAAGTAGAGATCAGTGAAGTTGTGTTTGTAAAATGTCATGTTTAAATAATTATTTAAACTGTCAAAGCAAAAAAAAAGAAAAGAAAAGCTAGAGCTGAGGTTCAGTTCCTACTCATGACAGACAGGGAGAGAGACAGACAGACAAAGAGGTGGGCAGTGGAGGGGCAGGACTGGACAGGGTTGAGGACTAGGCCCTGTCTCTGGTAAAAAGTGCCGACTGTGCAGGTCTCACAGCCTGAGTTCTCCAGAACCTGGGAAGCTGGTGGGCCAGCTAGCCCACAGTGAGACTCGGGGACAAAGACAAGAGAGACCCTGCTTCAGCACTCCACGGGTCTCCTGCTTCCACATGTGAGCTGTGGGACACCCACATGCAGGAACGCTACGTTAATCACCAGATTTTTACAGTAGAATGGGGCTGAGCCGAAACTGTGTATTAACTTGAGAAAATGTTTAGCCATGACTTCTTGAAACAGAACACGTTTAAACATTGCATGATTTGATGTTAGGCAGAGTCAGTGAGCATCTAACGGGAGAGGGCTTGATGATTGTACAGGTTTTCCTCCTCGGCAAACTGCCTCACTGCCCGTGTCTCCTGGTTCCTCATTCAAGCTGGAGAACTGGCTGCCCTCTTGAGAGTTTTGATTCTGATTTGATTCCAGTTCACTGCTAACTTTGAATTTCTGACTTCATTCCGACCTTTGTGTCGCCACTAAGGGGTCATGTGAAAATTCTCCCTAGACTTCTTCGTGCTGCTACTTGGTGAAAGCCAGTCCCCAGGCTTCTGCTTGGAAGAGTCTTTGTCCCCTGTCCCTTCCTGTCAAGAGGGTGAGAAGAGGGCATATTGCTGACACACTCCTCAAAGAAGCTCACATCCAGCCTGTTTCTGGTACTTGGAGGTGTCGGCTGTGGTATCCCCAGCCCAGATGCCGAGGTCTGGGGCGCAGACAGTGCATCTGTAATTGGAACCAGGCTGGTCTCCTTACAGAATATACATAGTGACTCTCCAGACTAACTGTGGTTTGAGTTAGGTTGTATGGTATAGTCATCATGTGAACATTTATAGACAGCATGATCACTCTTTTCTTCAGTTAAACCCTAGATGAAGAAATTGGCTTGCATTTGGAAGCCATCTTGTAAGGAAAACATGTCAGTAAAGACTGGAGTCATCTTCCGAGCAATAGATCTCAGGCTGTGGGATCCTTTCCTACCGCCTGCTTTCTCAAGGATGTGTGTGTCTTGGGTGAAGCACACACGGAGTTGAGTTCACCTTTTTAATTGCTGTTTTCTCTTGGCTCTTCCCTTGCCAAGTGAAGCTGGTGCACTCTGAAAGGCTGTGTGCAGATGAATGTAGCTACCTTCATGCATCTGAGCTGCACCAGGCCGGCCTGACCCTGAGTACCTGACGGGGACAGGGAGTGTGGTCAGACTGTTTGCTTCTGCTCCAGTGCTGGAGGCTTGACAACAACACTGGTGTCACCTAGGAGCTCTCTGGGAAGATAACGTCAGGCCCTGTCCTAACCTCACAAGTTAGAGTCTAGTTTAACAAGGTTCTCAGTCAGCTTGGTTCACAGCTTTGAGTGATGCTAGCGTGAAAACACTTGGTGCCATATGGTGTAAGGAGGTGTCATATTGGGAAATGCTGGTCAAACAGAGAAGCCGTTAGGACAAGGACTGGGGACACTGGCTTCTAAATGAAGGGTAAACCTCTCGTAGAGAGAGAGCATAGTCAGAGGGGAAGTGCTGTTTAAGAGTTCATTGTATTTGTACAACTTAAAGGAATTCACCCAAAGAAACAGAGAGCTTGCTTAATCGGACAGAAGACATTTCACATCACTTGATTTAAAAGTAAGCTTTAGGGCAAATGTGGTAGTGCACATCTGTAATTCCAGCACTTGGGAGGCGGGAGGCTAAGGCAGGAGGATCATGAGTTTGAACTTAGCCTAGACTACATAGTGAGCAACCTGAACTACAGAGTGAGCAGCCTAGGCTACATTGTGAGCAGTCCAGGCTATCTAGTTAGAGACCTTGTAAGAACTAAATATTAAAAATTGTAAAGTAAGTTTTGTTCCTTTGCAATGCATTTGCATTTTCTGAGTGCTGTTAAGCAGGGAAGAAAAAGTATAACGTGATAATTTGAGCTTAGAATGTCTTCCATAATGCTGTCTAAGTGACTTTTACATTTTATCTACAGAAAATCAGTCTTTCCAAGACCAGGCATCTGTATTGGAAGGTGAATTGGTTGTAAAACATACCTTTAAAATACTTTAATCATTAAATACAGCTAATGAATGGATAACAACAATAATGCATGTGCACTTACCCTAAATCTGATTGGTATCATTTTTATTTGGCTTCTTAATTGAATCAAATTTTAGAAGTGATTGAATGTGTGTGATGACTCACAGCTTTAAATCATAGAAACCGTGTGTCTTCTATGAATATGACAGATTGCTCTATGCAGGTAAGAATATGAGGTGATGGGAGAGAGTTGAATGATTCCTGTGTGATGGTATGTTAGACGTGACTTAGTAGCTTGTGACCAGCTCCTAAATGTTCGAAGCCCTCCCTATTTAGCCTCCTGTCTCAGGTGAATTTGTGGGAAGTAAGTTCTGTTTAAAAAGCAAAGCAGCTTAAGTCCACCGTGTTTAGGAAAAGAGCTGACCATGTTCAGCAGCATTAAGCATGAACCAGTTCCTTTGGTGTGCTAAGCAATTTTGTTGTGATTTAGTATGTGTATCAGCTTATCTGGCAAGGGGAAAATCCTGAGGAAAACACACTGGGTGGGGGGCACTGTCCATCTTCACATGTTCTCTCACACACGTGTGCTTTAGCAGCCGTCTGTGTCCATAGTGAGGTGTGACGTAACCTCGTCCTAACTGGGAAATTGTCAGCTTTCAGCGTGCTGTGTAAGGTACTGGCACTAAAACACCAAGCAATACTGATGGCCACTTTTACTTGGAGATGCTGGGGTACTGGGTTTCCAGTTTCTGACGAAACGTACTGTAATTGTCTATAGTTTCATAAGACAGGAAACTGTGAGAATTACTGCTGTTATATAGTTGAGCTCTGTTGGATTTTTGGTGTTTGCCTTGTGGTCCTGGGAATAGAACCTGGACTTCCTGTTCTGGGCGGACATTCCACTGTTGAGCTGCCACTTGACCTGGGCGCTCACTCTTTTTTAAGAGGACTGAGTTGAGTGTCTGCACTGCATTTCCCGTTAGTCTTCTTCGTCCGTCGAGGATGACGGACACTCTGGGACACTCTGCAGCAGCACACTCACTGATCTGTGCCCCTAATCTGGAGAGGAGAGTGAGCTGCCTTTGGAGGCTGCTGCCTGTTAGACATAAGGACTTCAGCCTCAACTTAGGACGACAGCCCCTTCTCTCTCAGTAGTGTCACTGTCAAACATGCTGCCTATGAAGGCGTGCCCTGTGTGACCCTTGCTGATTGGTAAAGCCCATATGGCAGTTACCTCACTGTTTAGGAGAACTTCTAAGTGTAAGATGAATCATTTTCTTCCTTTCAGGGTTTTGAAGGAAAATGTCTTCTGTTGTCTGTTCTAGGTCCTCAGAATGGTTGGAATGATCCTCCAGCTTTGAACAGAGTACTGAAGAAGAAGGTAATGGAAAAGTTCTCTGTCTAGATCATCTATAGCCATGCAGAGCACACCACACTTGACTGATCCTTTAAAGGCAGAGCTTGCAGGTTAATGCATGTCAAATGCATTGCACAGTTTATCTCCAGAAAACCCATCTCTAAGCAGTGGTGAAAGGAGGGGAGGTAGAGAATGTGTTCAAGCCTTCCCTGTGCTGAGGAGGGTGGCACACACCCAATTCAGTGTGGAGGGGAAATAGAGAATGTGTTCAAGCCTTCCCTGTGCTGAGGAGGGCGGCACACACCTCAGTTCAGTGTGGAGGACCTGGAAGGCTGAGGCAGGCAGACATGGGGAATGGCTGAGGAACCTGGGACTCAGCTTGGGATGAGCTTACATTCCCTCTTCTCATGTTCTTGGCAGCCTGAGATGCTTACCTGCACATTCCGTGTCCACACTCCCTCTCTGAACAATGCACCTAGCAACTCATTAGCCACTTAGGGCTTCCACTTTGATTGAGCTGCACAGGTATCCCACTCTGAACAATGGAATAAGTTTCTCCTCTTCTTAATGACCACCAAACTTGGACAGATTCTAGCTGAACAAGTACTAGATTAGAAAGCCTGATCTGGCCTGAACTAGTTTTGAGCACATGTGGAATAAAGCAAAACTGTGTCCACAAGTGAACTTTTAGGAAGAATTTCCTACTTACCATCTATGTCTACACATGATTTAGCTTGCATGTGTAAAATCAGATGCTTTGTGAGGTGGGGCCTGTGCAGTGGATAAATGGTTCTATAAATTATTCTGTCAGTCAAAATGGAGAACAAAAACTCCTGCCTTTAGACTCCATAACTAGAAACCTCAGGGAACAACAGCAGCAGACGTGGACTGTTGAGCGACCTTGTTCCTGGGGCCTGCTGTCAGTCTTGACCGTGTGTCTCTCTAATCTGAACCTTCTTTGTTTTTTGCTTTGAATAAGGTTACTTTACCGCTTTTGCAAATGTATGCCAGCCCTAATTTTAGTCCTCTGAATAAGAGGCCAAGAACCTGGAAACACAGCCCAGATCCCAACTACTGGTCAGAGTCTGAGGCCAGTCTTGGCTTGACCCTGTAGTGAGACTGTGTCAACTGACCTCTCCGCCTGTACCCACCCCCGGGAGAACCTTGTTCTGGTGACAGGTTGTTCTGGTAAGGCAGGTTGTCACTCTCCTACAGACCTCAAGCAGCAGGAAACAGGATTTCACACTGGGCTCTTGATTGTTTGAGTTCTAGCAATAATCATGATTGTATTTTGTAATCAGTGAAATTTATAATTACATTTTAGATTTTCTTTTGCAATATTTTTTAATGATTGTGTTTTGTCTGCATGTATGTCTGTGTGAGGATGTCAGATCCCCTGGAACTAGAGTTACAGACAGTAACGAGCTGCCTGTGAGTTCTGGGAATTAAATCTGGGTCTTCTGGAAGAGCAGCCAGTGCTCTAACCCCTCAGCCATCTTTCCAGCCCCTCCCAATATTTTTTTAAAAATAAGTTACTGATTTTTTTCCATGTGCACACAAGCACTTGAGTGTATGTGTATATGTGTCACATACTCATGCACACGCCACAATGTGTGTGTGTAAGTCACAAAACACCTTGTAGAGAGTTGGTTCTTTCCGTCCACCCATGTGAGGCCCAGAGACTGACCTCAGGTCCTTCTGCTTGGTGGAAGTTGCCCTTAACCACCGAGCCGTTTTGCTGTCCCTGTCACAATATTAAATGAAGAAATGCCCTGTATTTAGTATTGTTTATATGTCAATAATTGTTATACAGTGTCAGTAATATGAACACAAAATGGTATTTTTCTTTTCCTTTCTTTGAGACTATATATATTGTAAATTCTTAGTGATTTCTTTCCCCCAAGTATAATATTGAGAGGCTAGAACATAAAATTAGAAGACATTAAGTTAGTACGGAAGCCCCACCAAAAGGTTAATAATAACCAGAACCCCCCCTTGCTGTTTTCAGTACCTAGTAATAGCTGCTTCGTGATGGATGAGATTGGAGTTAGGTCCCGTTGTCATTTAATATGCACATGCACACATGAGCACACATTGTGACATATTGGTTCCTGGACTGCTAGACGAAAAGGCCATGGCTTTGGTGACTGTATGAGATGACAGGGAGCTGGCTCTTAGGTGTATTCCTCACCCACGTTAGCCACACTAGGTCTACATTGATGTTTTACCCGGCGATTCTGCATAAAGTTTCATTTGAAAGTGTTTTACTGCAAAGAAAATTTAACTCTGAGGTACTCTAAGGCCTTTAGTTTTATTAGCTAAGAAACCATTATTTTCCTTTTTATTCTTAGTTTTGGTGTTTTAATTTTTCCCCCCATCTTTTAAAAGACGCCTGAAAACTTCACGCCTCCTGTTCCCATTACATCACCAATCATGAACCCTTGTGGTGATCCCCAGTCCCAGATGCTGCAGCAGCAGCCTTCAGCTCCAGGGCCGCTGTCAAGTCAGGCCTCCTTCCCACAGCCGCCGCACCTTGCAAGTGGCCAGCCCTTCCATGGCGTCCAGCAGCCTCTTGGTCAAGCAGGCATGCCACCATCTTTCTCAAAGCCCAACATTGAAGGGGCCCCGGGAGCTCCTATTGGAAACACCATCCAGGTAACATAAATCTGTAGACGTGGCCTGGGAAGATGGCTTGCTTCAGCGTGTTTCTTACACGGTTCTACCCATGGTGTTTTCAAAACAGCAACTCCATTTTAAGAGATTGATCGTGCACATGTATATTATTTTTCAATTATATGATTATATGTAAGCTTTGGAGACAAGAATTATCCATTTTCGGAGTGTATGTTTACTATGTCGCGGTAATTATAGTCTTAATCTAGTCAGCACAAAATTTAAGGTTGGATGAGTCTTCTCTACATCTGAGGTCGCTAAGTAAAAGCTGGTTTATAGGCTTTTCTTAACATGTTAAATAAAAATGTTATGCATTATGTCATTTAATGTGTTTGCTTACAACCTGATAAGCCAAGCTGGGCATGGTGACACACACCTTTTTAATCTTAGCACTCAGTGGCGGGGGCAGGCAGATAGATCTCTTCAGGGACAGCCAGGGCTACAAAAAGAAACTCTTTCTTTGGGGAAAAAAAAAACAAAAAAACAATAAAACAAACCAAAAACCCTGCTAAGCTAGCCATACCTCTAGATGGCGAGACACATTTATACTTTGTCAGCGTCTCAGAAGTTTAAGAACTCCTAGTACATTTCCAAGTGAGACTTAGAAAGACAAAGATGTCTTGACCTATACATAAAAATGTGAAGAGCGTGGGTCAGTATCCACTATGAGGAAATGGAACGAAGTCCTGCCTGAGCTCTGAGCATGTGGATGGTTGTTGAGAGATCATCGTGCCTGAAGAAGTTTTCAGTACTGCAGGTTGCATCATCTGAGTTGGTTCTTACCTCCCCTTTGGCTCGAACATTACAGCTTCCTGTTGGTAATGGATAAGGACAGATAGTCACCATTATCTGTTTTCCTTGCTCTGCTCCAACCACATTGGCCTCCGTCTGGTCCCTTGTGTGGTCGTGGTCCTTCCTTTCTGCATGTTCCTCCCTCTGTCTGGGGTGCTTCCTTACCTCCTCACGTGGTTGGCCTGCTTGTCTTCTATGTTTCTGAAGTGCATTCCCTGCCTTTGGTCAGATTTGAGTTTTCGTGACTTTTAGTCCCCCTAAGCATCGACTTACTGTAGTTTACATTTTTAAGCTTTGCTTCTCTCCCAGTGGCCTCTGAACTTCCTTAGTCTGAGATCATTTCTCTATTGGCTCACCAGTGAGTAGCTAGTCCTGGTGCATAGTTGCCTGGCATTTACTGTGTGAATGAGAGAATTAACTGATGAGTAAAAGTATAAGAAACTGGAGTCCCCGTTTACCCTTTTGTCTTTGTTCTTAGCAACGTCGTGATCTGTTCTGTCTTACCCTCTGGCCTAATCTTGCAGTCTTTTGTAGTCAATTAGCACACACAATTTAAGAAAAGTAAAAGAGTAGTTAGGTGTGGTGCACACTTGCAGTTCGAGCACTTTGGAGGCTAAGTTAGAATCACCACGAGTTCAAGATAGCCTGGGTTGTACATCAAAACCCTGTCTCAAAAAACAAAATGAACAAAAAAGGAGTAAACGAATAGAAGAATGCTAGGATAAACAAAAATAAGTGATTCAGTGTATGACTAGTCAGTTACTTCAAGGTGTGTGTGAGTGAGAGGGGAGAGAGAGAAGAGGAGGGGAGGGGAGGGGAGGGGAGGGGCAGAGTAGAGGAGAGGAGACGAGAAGAGAAAAGATAGGAATGGACCCCAGGCCTCACATTCGTTGGACAAGCATTCCACCACACAGCTCGAGCCCCCGCCCTCTGCTCAGGCAGATCCAGCTGCCCAAGGAGTGCTAGCGCTTCCTCCTAGTACCTTATCCTGAGGGATTGCACACTTGAAATCTTCACTGTATTTTTAACTGATCTGTCTCTAAGGTGATTGGTTCTCTCTTTCCCATAGACTCAAGACTGTATATAAAATACCTCCTGGTCATTTCTGATTGTTTTTATACCACTAATTCTTACAGCACGTGCAGGCTCTGCCAACAGAGAAAATCACCAAGAAACCTATCCCAGATGAGCACCTCATCCTGAAGACCACGTTTGAGGACCTCATCCAGCGCTGCCTCTCTTCAGCCACGGATCCTGTATGTATTTCCCTCTCATGGTTGACTTAATGATAACTATAACCTGGGGCTAGAGCGCTTTTGCAGAGGACCTGGCTTTTATTCCCAACACCCACATGGCAGCTAACCACTGTCTGTCACTCCACTCCCAGGGGATCGGACACCCTCTTCTGACCTCTGAAGGCACTGAACACATGTGATGTACATACATGCAGGCAAAACACGTGTACCCCTAAAACAGTAGAAAATCTTTCCATCTTTTTTTTAAAGTCCTTTTAGTGTTCCCTCATTATTGTTCCAAGTCCTACAAATTGTGTGTCTTAGAGGTAATAAAGTTAGCACTTGGTTTACTCAGATTAGTGAACATTTGACCTTTGTGACAACCCTGTGATGGGGTCTTCCTTCTTCTCCCAGACGAGAAAGGGGTGAAGAGCAGCCTGCTCCGGGTTCTCAGCCTGCTCCAAGCTGAGCTGCCTGTCGTCTGCTGGCCTTTCCCGTGCAGATGTAGGGCACAGCAGTGACAGGCCAGGGGGCTGCTACTGGGGAGCTCATCAGTACTGGAGATGTGGCCATGGTCAGCATAACTGCATAGGATGCCTTTGGGTTGGCAGCAGAACCCATAAAGCCAGCCCTGTTGGAAATGAAGTTTCATTTGGTACCAGCAAGCACAGAAAATGTCTGTTAAGCCATTGCCCACTCGTCTGTTGAAAATAAGAAATTAGCCTCTGGGATTTGTTGTTTCTTCAGACATGGGTGTTGATTTGTCCAGTCTTTTGCCAGCCTAGTGGGAAGCCATGTTCTGTATTGAAAATGTCCGCAGAGACCTCAGCACTGGTATTCTGGGAGTGATAGAAAGACCAGGTCGACACTAGGGGGCAAAAGAAGCCGATAGCCAAATGGACGCTGTCTTGTGCACAGTCTTCCAAAAATGGGGTGTTCAGTGAGGTAACGGCAGAATTCCAGTACTTCTTCAGGCCTGAGTGAGGGTGAAGACGACGCAGTCTATGGCTCATCTCATCAGCTGGTGTTGAGTCTATCCTACTCTGTCTCCAGAACTCCTTCCTTCTGCATACCTAGGAGCCCTGGGTGAAGAACAGGAGGAGCAGCTCTGTTTCTGCAGTTAGCCCTCTTGTCCTGCCCAGCTGTCTGTCTGTAACTCGATAGCAGTAGCTTTGAGCAGGGACCACGGGCTCCTGTCTACAAAGTTCCCTTCATTTAGCAGTGAGAGTCACTTGTGTAATGCGGGTTTCTTCCTCCTCTTTATTCACACATAGTCGTGCAGCACAGTTAGTATGCAGTGCTGCCCTGAGTGGCCTCACCCTCTGCTGAGACGCAGGCTGGGCACTCACTCCTGCCCACACCCCTGGCACCTGTGCTTGCTGCCCCTTCCGCCCTCAGCCAGCTCCCCAACACTGCCAGTCACCGTAAAAGTACTGCGATTATTTAGTATTTTCCCATTTATTAGAATTTTTGATGTGTAAGTCTCTGTCTCCAGTACAGGACATGGTAGATATTCAATAAAAATGATAAGATTTTTCTAAGACTGGTCATTTATCATATTCTATTTTTAAAACCTTTAATTTTACTGTTTGAACGTTTTTGGCTATACACATAAGAGTGTGTGTATTGAAGCAGGAGAGTGACCTTGATTTAAGTCTGTTTTCCTCTTGGTCATCCTCTTTGGAGGGAGGAGGTCAAGCCCAGGGTGTGGTCCATGTTTGATGAGCTCTCACCCCACCACCCACCCCTCCTAGTGATCTGAATGCCAGAAACGTGAGGCAGGAGTAATTGTAGCAGATGTTGGGAAGTGTGTAAATAGGAATTTTGAAAGGTGGGAGAGAGATTCCACAGTTCCCCCTCCATGTTTCCTTCTTACACACATAATCTCCTGTCACTGTCCTCTTCGGTGACACTGATCCTTTGCTGCTGCCCGAGGCCTTTGAACATGTCACAAGGTGTACATGGCACTCCTCGTCAGGGGAGTTGGCGATCCACATGGAACCTACTTCAAACCCGTTTTGTGCTCGTCCCCTCCCTGCCTTCAGTAAATCATTAATGTCCGTTCCAGCAACCTGTTCGAGCTTGTGGTCATACTGCCTCCACAGTAATAGCATTGAAAGATTCGTGTGTAACGCCTGTTCTTCCTGTCCTATAGCAAACCAAGAGGAAGCTAGACGATGCCAGCAAACGCCTGGAGTTTCTGTACGACAAGCTTAGGGAGCAGACGGTAAGTTTTTCCGGGGGGAAGGTAGATGAGGACAGTCAGTTCTTTCTCGTGGCTCTAAAGAAAGCGTCTCGTCAGCACTGTCATACAGTATGTGTGGAGGGTCAAATGGCCAGGACAGCTGCAGAGAGGGCTTTCCAAATCTCATTATGTGGGATGGGAGAGACAACCTAAGAGAGAATACAGACTGGACTGTGCTGGGCCCAGGATAGCTGGCCTGCCGCTCATGTTCACAGCCGTGTATCAGAGACCAGAGACAAGCCAGGTGCTCTGTGGTCTAGAGAAGGAATCTGTCATCTGTCTCTGGAGTCTAAGACTCCTGATTTTTTTCTCCCAAAACAGCTGATACAGAAAGCAAAACCAGATGTCACCACCAGGTGGTCAGGGTAATGTTGTGTGACTGTGAAGAGAACCCACAGCAAGGAGTCACTGTTGGTCCTCTTGAACCCACCTGCTGCTCCATTTGAGAGGTTCATAGTAAAAGCGCTAAGATTGGAGAGGACAGGTGCCACGCTTGACAGGGTTGCAGTAATTCTGTTTGTCCACACGAAGTACCATCTGAGAATAGCATTTCTCATGAGAACCAAAGCAAAGCAAGCTGGCCTAATAGGAAGGGGCGTGGTCTGTGACTGATCCAAAAGAGTCTTCTTCTAAAGGATGGGAAGTACTGAGTGACGACGCCATGGCAGAGTGCTAGACTTTGATTTTAAGAGGTGGTGGGCGAGCCAGGTGGTGGGTGCAGGAGAGTCAGAAGTACATCCTCAGCTACCTAGATCAAGGCTACTCAGAATACACGAGACGGTCTCACAAAGACAGAGAGAGGGAGAGGACACAGCCAGGTAAACTGGAGAAAGTAGCCCAGGAGTGTGAGACCAGCCTGCACAATGTAGCAAGATCTAATCACAAAGAAAAAGTAAAACAAATTTCTGTAAATGCCAGAAGAGACCGGTGCATGTGTAATTAATTCATAAATGACTTCACACGAATCATCTTACCATGGTTCTACTTTAAAAATGTAACTTCTACTTGGTCTAAAAAAGGTTTGCTTGGTTTAAAATATTCCAGAAATGCTAACTAGTTATATATCCTCAGAGAGTGTATTTCAGGCTCTGTGTTTCAGAGGGTCTCCTAGGACATCCCCTGATGTAACCCTCTCCTGCCAACACCTTTATTTCAGCTTTCCCCGACCATCATCAACGGTCTACACAGCATTGCGAGGAGCATTGAGACGAGGAACTACTCGGAAGGGTTGACTGTCCACACCCACATCGTCAGCACCAGCAACTTCAGTGAGACGTCGGCGTTCATGCCGGTCCTCAAGGTTGTTCTCAGTCAGGCCAGTAAGCTGGGTGTCTGAGAACAGCTGCACTGTCCGCTGACATCGCCTCCTCTCCAAAGAAAGCCATGCTAAGACTCGGACCAACCCCTCAGTAGCATGTTTCCATGGCAGCCGCCCCAGAGCTTTGACGTGATTTCTGCAGGTGCACTCACCCTAGAACTGCTTGGAGCCTGGTGCTTTCTTTTGTTTTAATCTTTTGTTGCCCATTATGATTCTCCTATTCTGCAAATAGTGTCTTTCCTGGATTACACACTGTGTGGTTTCCTAAGGGATTCTGACAAAGAGTGGTTTTTAAAACTTTGGTGGACTTTTTAGAAAAATTGCATCTGGCTATGTAGAAAATGGACCCACAACGAAATTTCTTTGATGTCTTCCCCACTTTCTCCACGTCAGTCAGATTAAAGTGTGTAATCCTATCTTACGTGTTTATAGTCTTTATTTTTTTTCATTGTTATTACATGTTGTTATGTATATGAGTGGGTGTGGGCACACCACTGTGTATATGTGGAAATCAGAGGACAGCCTGCGGGGACCAGTGCTCTACTTTCTCCGTGTGGCTCCCAGGGACAGAACTCAGGTTGTCAGGTTTGGCAGCAATCGCCTTTGCCCACTGAGCCATCCCACCAGCCCTGTAGTCTTTTTAAAATTGCCTGCTGAGCTGGGGCTGTAGTTCTGTGATAGAGCACTTCTTGGCATATGTAAGGTCCTGGGTTCCATTCCTATCACTATAGAGCAGTGGTCCCCACCTTCCTAATACTGCGCCCCTTTAATACAGTTCCTCATGTTGTGGTGACCCCAACCACAAAATCATTTCCATTGGTAGTTCATAACCAGTTTTGCTTCTGTTATGAATATGAATGTAAATATCTGATATGTGACAACGGTGAAAGGGTCGCCCAGCCCCTCGGGGTCGCAGCCCACAGGTTGAGAGCCACCATTATAGAGAGAAAACAACTGCACCTTTGCTGCCTGGTCCTGAGCATGTACGTACATGTGGAAGTTGCTACATAGGTATTAGCAAATTTCAATTCGGAGTGGATCGTTAGCTTTAAATATATACAGGAAGGCGCTGGGCATTTGCATGTCTGCCGCACACATTACTGAGTTCTCTGTTTATAAATATTTTCAGTGTTCTGCTTGGGTTCAAGATTGAATTGTCTCATTTCATAGTTAGAGATTTGCTCCCCCATGTAGGTAGTAAATTACCTATAGTCTTAAAGTTCAGTTCAAAAAGAAAACGTTGTTACAGCCAGGCTCCTAAATAAAGCCGTGTGTTTTCCAGGCAGTTAGTTATGTCAGGTGGTTTAGTGTCTGCCTTTACGTGGATCGTGTGACAAGCAAAGGTCACGATCCCCGTAGAATCCTGAGGAGAACTGGGTACTAATAATCTTCATTTATGCCGTCTTTTCTAAGCAGGTTAGAAAACCAGAAAATTCATAGTGGAACTGCTCTGTGGGTGGATGGGCTGTGGAGGGAGTTGGTGCATTTGTCCAGCGGGCTCTCCTCAGCCTGCGTGAAGCAGCTTTCAAGAACCTCTCCATTTCCTTTGTAGAGGACCCCTCTCCCCAGATACACACTTAAAATTAACTCAACTTTGCAGTTGAGAACAGTTTGTAACAAGGAGCAAAAAAGCACTGTGCTAGCATCACGGTATCAGGATGGTGTCTCGACACAGAGACAGCAGCACTGATTGAGTCTCCTGTGACTTCGGCAGACGGTGTCAGCTCCAGTAACTGGGGTGACCACTTGGCCTTCTGGACAGACTCTGAACTGCAGTGTGAGTTCAAGACCCCAACCGAAGGTGAAGGAATTGTTTTCACACATGGCCTACAATTAGGCTTTATTTTCCTTGGTGTGAGAATGTCATAGTTGGAGGGAGGGAGGGAGGGAGGGAGGGAGGGAGGGAGGGAGGGAGGGAGGAAGGGAGGGAGGGAGGGGGAGAGAGAGAGAGAGAATCAAAGGAAGAAAGGAATGAGTTCCTAGAAAGGTAAGACACGTGCTGGATAGCAATGTGGGTGGGGCCAATGCCAATAATTCCACATGTGTGGGTACAAAGCCCTGGCCCCTCACTGGCGTCAGATGAGCTAGGCTCATTGCTGTTATACTGAAAAAAGTCTTGGAGTCTTGGAGGCGTTTCATATCAACAAATGGTGGTAAGCTGAGCTATACCCCAAACAGTTCTTTTCTCCCAAGCATAAAGATTATGGAAAGAGCAGTTTGTTATTTGAAGATAAATTCTGAAGTTCTTTTTTTTTTTTTTGGTTTTTCGAGACAGGGTTTCTCTGTGTAGCTTTGCGCCTTTCCTGGAACTCACTTGGTAGCCCAGGCTGGCCTCGAACTCACAGAGATCCTCCTGGCTCTGCCTCCCGAGTGCTGGGATTAAAGGCGTGCGCCACCACTGAAGTTCTTTTAAAAAGAGAAAAAAAGTCAACTGGATTTTGTAAATGGTTCTATTTTAATATATGTCTCTACAACTCAGGAACTTTGGTTTAAGGCTAAACTTGCTTAAAAATCAGTGATGATCAAGCTGTGTGGGGATAACACATATAATTCAGCTGAGGCAGGAGGATAAGATCAAAGTCAGTCTGTACTACATAGAGAGGTACTGTCTTTTTTTTTTTTCCCTTGGTTTTTCGAGACAGGGTTTCTCTGTGTAGCTTTATGCCTTTCCTGGATCTCGCTCTGTAGACCAGGCTGGCCTTGAACTCACAAAGATCCGCCTGCCTCTGCCTCCCAAGTGCTGGGATTAAAGGCGTGCGCCACCACCGCCCGGCTGAGGTACTGTCTTAAAATTCAGGTATGGTACAGTTTTTTGTTTGTTTGTTTGTTTTTTAAACGCTTTGCTCTTTGGGGGCCCTGCCACCCAGCTCCCAAATAAATACACAGAGGCTTATTCTTACTTATGAATGCCTAACCTTAGCTTGGCTTGTTTCTAGCCAGCTTTTCTTAAATTGTCCTGTTTATCTTTTGCCTCTGGGCTTTTACCTTTCTCTTAGGGCCCTGGAGCCTGTGGTCCATCTGCCTTGTATATGATCTACAAGCCTCCTGAGGGGATGGGAAATGAACTTGGATGAGCAGCAAGCTTTGAAAAAAGATGACAGGAACTATCGGGAATTCTTCTCCTTGAGAGTTCATTTGCTTTCCGGTCTGGAGAAGAAATGCATCGTGCACCTTGATTGGAAATTAATGGTTAGCACAGAAGAGATGGTTTATGATCTGAGGATTCCAGACATTGTGTCTAAGTAGTGAGCCTCCTCCTTGAGCATGGGCTTATACCACCCCAGCCCTGTGTGCCCTGTTTCTCACCAGGAACGGGCTGCCCTTGGGTGCTGCAAATCTGGGTCACCCTTTTGACGTTCCTGAACTCTCTTTGTGAATTCCTGCCCCCTGCTGGAGAACAGCCTGTGGTAAATGATACAGCAGGAAGAAAGAAGCCATTGGAACAGAAACAGTGACAGCTGATGCTGAGAAAACCACAGGAACGTGTCTATCTGCCCTTGGGACTGAAGCGACCCTCCAGACAGAAAGGAAGGAGATGGGTGTTAGTGCAGCCGGGGACCAGAGGGCAGGGGGACCAGAGGGCAGGGGGACCAGAGGGCAGGGGGACCAGAGGGCAGGGGGACCAAAGGGCAGGAAAAGTTTATGGGCCACAGGCGAATCTCTCCACACTGTCTTCTGAGAGCTGTGGTGGCAGCAGGTGGAGAAATAGGAAGGAGGCGTTAAGTTGGGTTTATAAACCTTTTTAACTGTTGTTGACCAATGGGAACATTTCTATAGGTCTTAAATGTTAACCTGCCTTGATTAGTTCTCATAAAGGGAAGCTACCTCTGTAGCATTTATTAGTCAGTGGGATACTGTGTAGAATATTAATTTAAGATGTGTAACATTTGTTTATACGGTGGAACATTTAATGATGCAAAGATGAGTTGCATTCTTTTATGTTGCATTTGTTTAACTATGTGAAGCTATGTTACTTTGCCTGTCTAAATTTAACACCTGATTGGTCTAATAAAGAGCTGAATGGCCAATATCAAGGCAGGAGAAAGGATGGTGGGGCTGCCAGGCAGAGAGAATAAATAGGAGAAACCTGGGAGGACAAAGAAGAAAGACGAAAAGAGTAAGAGAACAAGGAGAGGAGGATGCTAGGAGACAGCCACACAGCTACACAGCCACACAGCCACACAGCCAGCCACAGAGTAAGAGTGAAAAAGGTAAGATGTACAGAAGTAAGAAAAGGAAAAAGCCCAGAGGCAAAAGGTAGATGGGATAATGAAAGTTAAGAAAAGCTGACAAGAAACAAGCCACGCTAAGGCTGGGCATTTATAAGTAATAAGCCTCCGTGAGTGATTTATTTGGGAGGTGGGTGGTGGGCCCCCAAAAGAGTAAAGAGTAAGAACAAACAGCAGGACTCACTTCCCATCCCAACTGATGATTGATTGCCTGCCTGCCCTTCTGTGCTGTGAGTTCTCTGAGCCTAAAGCCACATTTGCTGCTTGTAGACTGAGCCGGGTATATGGCTTCTGGAAGACTCGTGACAAATATATATTGTAAAAATATTAATAATTTGAACTCAAGATTAGCTGGCACAGTGGTGCTTGTCCATTCAGGTAGGAGGATGTGTTGTGGGATATTTATTTACACTGTGTGAAAATGTGGTTGGTTTAATAAAAAGCTGAATGACCAAAAGCTAGGCAGGAAAGATAGGTAGGACTTCTGGGGGAAAGTGAAGAATTCGGGATGAATCTAGGCGTGCGAGGAAGACCCAGTGAGACAAGAGGGAGTTGATACAGTGGCAAAGTTAGCCACTGGGCAAGAAACTGCCCTTGCCTTGATTGCTGACAGTGTGCTGTCCAAATTGGAAAGCAGGACATGAAAGAAAGTTACTACCGAACTTTGCCAAGACAAGGTAGGACAGTCCTTCAAAATTCCTGCTTCATAGAAAAGTCTGTCAGATATTACAGGCCTGTAGGCCAAAGATGGATGCCTCAACATTGCAGAGGAAACTTAGGTGACTGTCCAGGCAGCCAGCTTCCCTGTCATTTCTACTCAGGTAATATTGTATCCTTCTCAGGTTTTTGATGGGGTTGAAGATTAGATATAGTTTTACGTTTTCCTTGTTACCAAATTCAAAAAAGGAACTCACAAAAGAGGTGTAAAGTATATGAGGTTGAGAGACATAAAAGCTTAAGTGTTTTATCTAAGAAAATATTTTGAGATCTAAAAAGATATTTTTAGGTTAGTAATATAAGCTATGATAGAAAGTGGAGGTTAGTAATACAAGTTATGATAGGAAGTGGTTTAGGTATAAACTTTGGAGTCATCAAGATAGGTAATGGAGTTATTTCTCTGAATTTGCCAAAAGCAAATGGACTGGATGTTGTAAATGTAATTCTTACCTGATAATTGTTATTATATA